CTACATCAACAATATTTCGTAAAACCAATTTTTTTTTAAACATTGCTCGGTAAATATGTAAAGTCTCATATTATTCTAACAAATAGTTTTTGAAGTATAACGAGGAAAGCACAGTCGCTGAAATTTTATTTGAAAGAGCCCTGATGATTACATAAACTTTTTTTTTTAACGTAGAAAGAAACGATATTTTCCTAAAGAAAATATAACACTTCATTTTCTGAATTTAAAGCATCTATAGAGCAATCTGTCTCAGATTTCGAAGCTATTTGCAATGAATTGCCGAATTCAGGTTGCCATCGTGAGTTGGAGCATTTCATCAACTATTATCAATATATCAATATAAATTATAAAAGATATTAGAGTATAAAATTACTTATTTTTACGGACAAATATTAATCGACCCAATATTTTGATTTTTGGCTGCTTTGTAGACGATCTGCCCCAAATTGTGAAGCGATCTGAAATCAATTTCGTGAGCAGTTCTGGCGATATGCTTGGCAAGAAGAGGGGGAAGCCTCTAATATAATTAATATATAATATATTAAAGAATAAAAGCTGAAGTATTAAACAAGATGAAGTGGATGCAGTGAGCGAAGCGATCTGTAAGGATTGGACAGCGATAGCGAGCAGGAGAGTGACATAGTTTAGTGAAATTTATTAGCAGTGGAATTATATCTGTTGTCAGTGAATTGAAGATGAACAATAAGTCTTAATTTGCTTATATTTCTAATTACTTTTTAAACAATTATATTGTGAAAATTGCGTTTCTTTCTTTTTCTATGAACGGATATTATCAATCTACTTCAACGGTTTGATTTTTTACTTCTCTATCAACAATCTGTCCCCCAGGAAAGCGAAGCAATCTGAAATCAACTCCGGGGTTAATAAGTTCCAGGGGCTGGCGAGTGATAGCGAGCATTTTCTACAAAATGTAAATAGTAACCAGATGGATCAGGGATTAGAATCCCCTTGTCGTCAAGCTAACTGTGGGAGGTTTTCGTGATTTTCCTCTCCGTGAAAAGCGAATGCGGATTAGTTCCATCAAAACAATCCTCCACCAAAGCAAATTTCTCCGAATACTTTATTCAGGAGTTCCCTCGTCTTCTAGATTGGGTTCAAAATTACTAGGTTATGGAGTTGAACAGTGGTAAGAAAAATGTGAATAGTTTATTATTATTATTATTGCCGCATATTCCTAAGCAAAGCGATAGAGATTTTATTTTCTTAATAATGATTCTGATCTACTAAAATTAAGTAAAAAAAATAAAAAAAAAAATTAGTTTCTACTTTAAAATATATATTAGAAATTTTAAATCATTTCTTTTTAATTCTTAAAAATATTTAAATTTTTAAAGTGAATATATTTTCCAGCATAAAATCTAAGAGTAAAGTAGAGCTCGATATTTTTAAAATAGATTATAGTCATTTAAATAATTTTTAACAAATTACAAATTAGGAGAAACTGAAAATTTTAAATATCATCTTGACCTATAACTTTAACCTGGACCATCCATCAAGAAAAATCATGCTTTAAAATTTAAAAATTGAATGATATTGTCTTAAAAAAGTTTTAAGAGAACTTCTCTAATAATAAAAGACTCAAATAAGACAACTATTGAACTTAAATAGATAACTCATTGTTAAATAATTACAGGAATTATTGCATTTGACATTTAAAAAAAAGTAAATAAATATTTTCTTAACTCACCAAAAAAGGGACTAGATGGTCGGAAGAAAAGTATTTTTTAGGAGCTCAAGCAAAACTCTTATAACAGAATGATCATAAAGTTAGTTTCGTCTTCCTTGTTATTTCATTTGAAGTGTTAAGTTGAACTCCTCTCTTATTATCAAATCTAAAAAGACCCCCCAGATAATCTCCATAGGAAGAAATAAGAAATTTCCTTTTGGAATTCGGACAAAACACATGCCATGCCATGGGACAGAAAGGGCAACACTTTCCAGGACATTTGAATTTTCGAGATTTTCCTCTCCATGTAATGCAAATGCGGATTAGTTCCATCAAAAAGTCCTCCACGAAAGCAAATTACTCCTAATACTTGATCCAGGTGTTTCCTTGTCTTCTGGACTTGGTTCAAAATTACAAGACTACGTAGTTGAACATTAGTAGTCGTAAACCCTAAACTGGGTCGGTTGTTCAACGACGGTTATAAAATATAGGGAAGTTAAAATCAGTTAAAGATAGATAATTTGAGAAGGGATTAAGAAAACTCACTTCAGGACAGTATGTAAAGTTATCTACAAATCATAAGTTTCCCCAAATTGGGTCGGCTGTTCAATAATAATATAAAAATAGAATAATTAATATAAAAAACGGATAATATAAAAAACGGTTAATATAAAAAAACGGAAGGAACATTTTGTTTCCGATAAAATCAAACAAAATTGATCAAGCAGGTGGGATGTTTGTTACTATAGGAACACTGTGACCTTCGACCTTTTTGCCCCCCTCCCCATTGTGGCTAGACCTTAGAGGAGGGTCGGAGAAAAAAAAAAACGATGTGAAAAGGGTGAACGATGAAATGAAATTTTATTTCAAATCATACATTTATAACTATTTTTTTCCTAAAAAGCTAAGATTCAATGTAAAATTAATGCCATTTCTTTTTCTTCTTTTAATTTATTTCAACAAAAAGTAATCATGTTGAAGGGTGCTGCAGAATAGGTCCTGGTATCCCGGTGGGCCAGTCCATCCCTGGGTGATCATGGGACAAATTTGGAGAGGAAACATTTATAAGAATGCACAGTCTAACGTGAAAGCACGGCAAAAGAGGACTAATATGTTCTTATACACAATCAAGGTACCTCAATACAGTATTCACAAAATTGAAATCTCCAACAGCAATTTATATTTAGTAGCGATCATGTAGAAAAGGCTGAAATTCAGATGCATCGGTTTGCCCGCCTCACTACCGCCCTCTATACCTCTGCAATGACATTGTATTATTATGATAATATTACTCTTAATGAATTTATTATTAATGAATTAATATTACTATTAATGGTCAAAATTGTGAACATTTATTGTATAGCTGCAAAGAAGCACTTAATATAAATTATTTTTTTCGTGTTTTTTTTAATTTTTAGAATAAGCAAGAGGAAGATTTAGATGGTAGTAGATTAATTCAGCGATATAATTTTATTTAATTTTCTGCAAAGTTGTGAAGCAGTAAGCCATAAAACAATAGTATTATAATGTTATTTACCACGCATTATTTGCGTAACAATACGGAAATACTAAATAAAATTATATCACCGAATTCTGTAACCATCCATTTTCCTCCCTCTTACTCCAAATTATATTTTGTGAATGAATATTTCACATTTAACTAAAAAATAATACCTTAACTTTTATTGATAATTCTTTAAATTTTTTATGCAAAGAGTTTTCTGATAAATTTTGGATCATTAATCATTTTCAGGTGTTTATTTTTAATTTTAAATGTATTTTAATTTTCATTTATTTACTTATTTATTTGAAAATGAATCAATTTTATCAAAATTTAAATTGAATTTGTTAGTTTAAATATCATGTTTTGTAAAAGCCCTTACTCTTATATCTCCTTTTACTCTAGTCGTTTGTAATTTTATAATTATCGTACATTATTCCCATTCTGATAAAAACCACACTATAGAGTTGTAAAGTCTTTTGAATTGAGTGGAAATTTTAACTTTGAAATAATAAAAAATAAATTTTATAATATTGTCATTTATTCCCAAAGAATAAAACTGTAACTCTAAACCCATTTTTAAAGATTTATTCAAGGTAAAGTATTGTTTGAACTTTAAAATTGTCATTTTTATAATAATTGTAATAATAAGGAAAATAATTTTAAAATAACCAAATTACTTACTGCTATAAATTTTCTTCCACTTCTTTTTTCCCTGAAATTAAATGAAGAAATTCTTACATAATTTTAGAAATTTTTTGAGGGGGTGAAACCAGAAAAGCATCTAATATATTAAAATTGTCAATGATTTTGTTAAAATAATTTTATGTGGGCACAACAGAAAATTTTTAATAATTCGATAATTATTTAATTAATTAATCTTATTTAATTAATCTTCGCCAAAAAATGTACATAACACTTAAATTACGAAACCAAAAAAAAAAGAAAAAAGTAGTGAACATTGTGCTTTATCTAAATTAAATTTGAACAAACACATGTAATTGCATTTCTTTATCATCGTTTCAGAAAAATTCCGTTTCTAGCTAATAGTTAAAAAGCCGTTATTTTATAAGCATATCCTTAACTAACTACAATACTTATTATTTATTGTTAGACAACACGTTTTAACACGGAAGTCACCTACTATGCGCGAAATACTCATTGTCATAATGAATCCAATTCATAATATTTGATTAGATACATGATCAATTAATTATTAGCACTTAAATGCTTTGATTAAGAGGTCAAGATTATGAAGTACACTGAATGTTTTTATAACACCATCCTCTCAAACACAGTACTCTTTGGAGTGCTTTATTACTTTTCTAACTGATTTTTAGCTGAAGGAAAAACACTACCTACGATACTAATTTAATGTTTTATGCAACTATTATTGAAATTTAGAAAGTTTAAAAAAATTACTAAAATATAAATACATTTTGAAGTGATTCATTCTAGTTGCTGGCCACAACCAATATGGCGATGAAAATAATCGTAAAGAACTCAACACTTGAAAAAGTATTTTATCTTTCGAAGAGGAATTTACTTCCAGTAATATTTTTTGGCATAAAATTGCATTGGTGAAAAATGATATTTTATGGGATATTTTAATTTGTTGTATTTTTTTCATAAATGAAATTTTATTTATTAATAATATGAATTGTCCATAGTTAATGAAATAGAAAGTTGAATCGAATATTATTTGATTTCATATAACATTAGATGGGAAGCATTTATTGTTACGGGGTTTCTAAAAAATACATGTATGCTCCCCTCCTATTGAATTTTCTCAGTTGAGATATTGTTTTTCAGGAAAAACAGTGTTGGATGTGAAGTGGAGTGGATCACCATGTGCACAAAACGCCGTCCTACCTCCGTCCTCATTTCCTTTGACGTTTCCACCTGTAGACAGTAAACCCATCCTCTTTCAATAGATGTGTATATGATTTAATAATAAAAACTTTCATCCTTTCTTCTTTTAAAATTATTTTAGCAACACTCTTTAGCATTTTAAAGGATCACCTATTTTTATGATCATTTCTACTCCTTTTCTATGGAATATCTATTTATTTTCAAGTCATGGAAATCTCTTGAAATATCCAGAGATGCCCATAGGAGGATAATAAGGGGGAAAGTGTTCATGGCTATTTTGGGGGATTTTTTTAAAAATATTTTGTACTATTTTGTAGTTTTAAAACTTCAAATTTTATATTTAAGAAATTTTTTTGATTTTTTTTAAATAGTCATTTTTCATTATTTGGGGAATCAAGTTTATTAAAGTTATATCTAAGTTATTAATACTCATATTTAAGTTATTAATTGGGTATTTAAGTCTGTTTTTGTGGGGGTGATATTTTTCGAATTTTTGTTTTTTAGTGAGAATTATTCTTTTAGTCATTTTACCTTCAACTCAAAATTTATGTAATAAAAGGAACACATTTATTTATAACCAGTGCATTTTTTGAACTGAAACAATAATTTAAATTTTTCTTTTGGAGGGGGAGGATATTTTTTACAGCCTTTTTTGGACAGATTATTACCTTGATCATTTTTAATACATCTTTATTACATTCGAAAAAAATGTTGAACTTTTAAAAATTTGTACGTAACATGCACTGATGTTTTCCTTCTGCCTCTCCTTTCAAAGATTATATTAAGAATAAAACTCTTCAAGAATTGGAAAGTAATTAACAATATTGATTACTTAGAGGATCTTACTAGGGGTACACTGAATATAATGTAAGAAGCTAAACAGAGAAACCTGTTATACCACTTCACTTAATCAACCAATTCTATTGTTTCACAATTTTATTTTATTTTATATAACAACATTATCTATAACAATTTGTTCAGCAAAAAATGCTCTAAGCAAAGTTTAACTTATAATAAAACTTTTGTTTGAGAATCGGTATTTTTATAGGGAAAAAAAAAGGAAAAAAGTTCGGAATAACAGAAAATAAAGCGCAACAAAAAAGGAGAACTATCTCAAACAGAACATCTCAAAGCCAAATTGACCCTGTAAATATTATGAATTAATTATACATTAAATTAATTAATACTTGCTGTTTCTGACAACGTTTGTATTTCGAGATTTGTAATCAAAAACTAAGACTCCATTGAGAGCACATTTGACTTTTGCCTCTTACGTGATTGAACTTTCATATTTTGGCCGCTTTAGGAATGTGTCGTGGTGAACTTGTTAATAAAATGTTCAGTTCAATGGCGCTTTTAATGGATGATAATAAAAATTGCAGCTTTGTTATCGTTGTTTTAGCAATTAAAATATTCGATTGAGAGCCAATGCATTTAGTTTTGCTAAAAAATCTTTTTCGCTAAAAGGAAACGAACTTCAACTGTTATAAATTCATTTTTAAAAGAATACACAAATCTCAAACAGTAAATATTACATTTTCAGGCAAAAAGTAAACTTTAAAAAAATTATTTATCGTATTGGTACTATTGAAGAATTAAAAGACTGCATAACCAAGTAAATGTTACATTACGTTTAAAAAAAAATCAGCCTTTCATTCATATGATATATTTAATTGGGGTTGATAATTAAAATTGACTTTTGACTGCTAATTAGTTTTATTGAAATCTTTTAAGCCTAGTTGAAATATTTTTTGCCGTTAAAAATTTTTCGTTTATTATATTTAGACGCAAGATTTGAGATATAACTTGTCTAGGCTTTAAATATCAGTACACTAACATATGATTTATGTACGTTTAATGCATCTAACCACTGTTGGTGCCTAACGACTCGCCATTGAGAATTTGATTTATTCTTATAAATTTCATGATATCTTCATTTATAGCGTAATAATATACAGTTAAAGAACTTAAAATTTGAATTTAAAAAATATAATGGTTATTGTTAATATTTCGCAACAAAAAGTTTTAGTATTATAATTTAATAAATTTAAATGTCTTTTAATAAAAATGTCGTTTTTACGAACAAACATATTACGTTATATATGTATATATGTGTAACGTTAAATGTATATATAGTTATGTTATATATATGTATTCATAATAAAAGAAACTTGACTCTGGCTTTTTGCATTTTTCTTTAAAAAAAAGCTTTGTTTAAAATGTTTACTTTTATCACCAAGTTTTTTGGGAAACCTGTTTATTATGTTCGTAATGCATGATTTCTTATCAGCGAAATACAATTGTTTTGTTTTAAATAAAATTTTATGATAGCAGAGTTGTCAAAACAGTAAGTAAATTTCCATCAAGTCTTTTAAAAGGTGATGCATAAAACATTTCATTAAATAATGTGTAAATTTAATTTAGATAAAAACAAATATTGATATTTAATGCATTTTTCTTTTCTGAAATAATTAGATAATTTTTTTAGCAAAGAGTTCTGCTTTAGAACATAGTAACTTTAAATAATTATCGAATTGTTAAAAATTTCTGATGGGCCCAAGTAAAATTATTTTTGTAATATAAAAAATTATTGACAATTTTTAAAATATTAACTGCTTTCCTGGTTTCATTCCATGAAAAGATGTCTACGGGTGCCGATGGTTCTTGTTTCAGGTTTTTTTTTCTTTTCTTTTTAAGGTAAAATTTCAGATACTGAAAAAAATAATAATAATAAAGTTACGCATTTCACTATTTAATTTTAGTGAAACAAGAATTAAAAGAGAATTTATGGAAAAAAGTAATTTTTAAAAAAGTTATTTTCTTTTATAATCACAATTATTTCAAAAATGAAACTTTAAGAATTCAAGCAATAAATTAATTTAATCTAGAATAAATCTTTAAATAAAGCTAGTTTTAATTTATAAAAACAAATAATGGCATATACTTATATTTTAAGATGGTAAGAACAAAGAAATACTTTTGTTTGAGAAGTATTTGTAAAGAGACATTTTGCACACAAAGATGCGCGTTTCCTTTGAAATAATGGTCATTGATTAGAGTACCTACTTGATTAATGTAAGAAGATTTCTGTGCTAAGTTTTGGCAAGAACTAGGCCCCATCTTTCGGCATGCTCTATTTATTATTTTAGTTTTTTTTTCCAGATCTGGGCAATAAGATTTCTATTGGTAAGATTTTAAAAAATGCCAATATGAAAATATCCCCCCTAATACCCACAAATTTTTAGGTGCCTAAATGAAGGGAGTTAGTGATAAGGTCTATTAAAAAAGTAATAACATTTAATTAAATATTTTAAAGATCTATGATTCTGTTTGCTTTTGTAATTCTAAAAAATATTTTCATTCTTTTCCAACTAAGTTTAATAAAAACCATTTGTTTAAAATAGATTAAATTTAATTATATCAAATAATAATTTATATAATTTGTATTGCAAAGAATAAAAACTGATTAAAAAATTAATTTAGTAGTTTATTTGTGTTAATATTTATTAATTCTGTGAAATTAAGATATATTATATACATATATAAAAGGATTCAACTGTTTCGCTAAATGCAACCTCTTTGTCCACTAGCTTTGAATAGCTTCAATTTGTCATCACAATTTTGATCCTCCGCAAAAAAAACAAAACAGCTATGCTTTGATAAATCAAGGAACTACACGTAAAATCGAGCTATTCACATTCGAATAGTTCATTGAGGTTCGATACCGCACACTGTCTCCTTGCAGATTGATGATAGTCACACACCTGCTCATTGACCGCTAATTTTGGTGATCTATTTTGTCCTGGTAGTAGTGAAACCTCTTGGTGCAAGTAATTTCCTCGTGATAGTAAAATTATGAACTAACAACCAACTAATCCAAATGACCTAAAATTTTCTGGAAAAAAGTGATTGTAATAGTAGTAGGTACAGATATTGCTTTTCACCTTCTTCAGGACCATGATCACATAGTATATGTGAAGGGGTTAATGACAAGTGTTGAATAATATACTGCACACTATATGTTTCATCATTTATTAACAAAGGTAGGATTTTTAAATACAATATTTTTAATCATCAACAAGTATTAGTATCATAAATATAACAATAGGGATAACCCTAAACTTAAAGAGAAAATTTTTTTTGAATGCACCATTAAATCTCACTTTTTTAAGCTCATAGAATGTATATTTGTACTATATTTATTTTGAATCCAAATTGTCCTCAAAAACATCTTCTTCTACAATGTCATCTTGGATTTTGTTGCCTCTTGACTCCACACCTTTAGTCTCTAAATAAATAATGGAAAATTGATTCAAATATAAAACACTCAGAAACTGCACTTAAAATTATACCATAAGCCTGGCTTAAAAGAATTATCATTGGTTCAAGTCAACAGCATTCAAATAAGCAAGTTATTTGATTATAAGAGGAGTCCATTAATCAATCTTAAAAGTTTTTAATAAATTTTCTTTGACATTATATATAATACATCATATAATGTTTTGAGGAAATCATTTTAACGATGAATAAAATGTTATAATTGGAACTGTTAGTCATAAAATAAAAATGACATTTAAATTTATATAAAAATAAATCAATACTAATGAAATAGACACAATTTACTTGAAATCAGTATTTACGTGGCTACCATTTATTTCACTTTCAAAGAAACTCTGCTTTGACAGACAATTGACTGAACAATTTTCTACTTCTTACATTACCATATATTTTAAAATTTGCGCGAGAGAAGTGTGACAAAGAGGGTTTGAAAATGACCTTGTTTACTATATTGCTGTTAATAAGATTTGATTAATTCTTAAAATGCCCAGATACTTGTTTGGAGTGGGAAATAGGTAGGAAGTCGTCATTTCAGAGGCAACATATTATATACTCATCTTCAGATAAGAGAGATCATTTTTCATAAAAAACAGCAAGAATGATAGGAATTTGTACTTATCATAAGAGATTAAAAAACAGCTTTCAATTACTCTTAAATATAGACAAAATATAATGACAAAGTTAAATTAATTTATAAAACGTATGTGAATTTTTCTCTATAGCAGTAGAAGCTAGGATCAAAAAAACTTTCGAAAATGAATATTTCTTGAAAAAAAAGAACATCAAAGTTTGTCATTTAAACATGAATAAAACATATGGCTTCCCTATAATTTTTTTTTAAAAGAAAATTATATTTATATTCTATAAAAAATCCTAATTTTTCACCAATAAATATAAGCTATTACTAAAATTAGCTTTAAAAAGTCATAATCAACTATCAGCAAAAATACAGTTATCAAAACAGTCCAATAAAAATTCAGAAATATTTAAAAATAGCAAAAAGCTTTAAGTCATAACCAAATACTTTAAAATTCTTGTGAACAAATTGTGCTAAACTTTTTTTCTGAAATGTAGAGTACCTAAATGAGTTTTGTATCATTTTTTCGAAACAGAATTAGTGACAGTAGTTGTTAGTTGTTTCAAATTTTCATTATTTAAAGTATTACAATTTAATTCTTATTAAAACTAAAAAAATTTCAAAATGACAACATTTAGATGAATTTCAAAGAAAACTGATTAATTAATAATCCCCGAATTCAATATTTCATTGAAACTTGTCAATTATTAACTGAGATCAATTTTAAATAAAAGAAAGAGATGGGTAAAAATTTTGAAGCTACAAGCTACATCTCACAAAATTTGTTATCGTATCAAATGGAAATAGTAAATCGTAATAGTATCAAATATATAATAAAGAATGACCCTATAACTTTTAAATAAGGAAAAGTAAAAATAGTTTTTTTTTTTTTGTAATAAATCCTTGAAAAAAAAGGTTTAGTAAATAGCATGACTCCTTTCCGAAAAGAAAAAAAAAGAAGCAGAACTATCCACTTGAATTTAGAATGAGCACAACATGATATTAATTTTATGATGTTAATGTATATTTTTAATAAATGAAGGCTTAATGCTTTTAATTTCAAAGCAAAATTGAGTGAAGTTTTTTTTTAAAATGGAGTTTTAGGGGTTTTTATTTGGAAAAAAAAGTTTGAAAACTGTCCCACAGAAGGAACCAACACCTCTAAATTTGATACTTCCATGTCTGTAAGCAATCGATCTTCTCTCTGTTGTTATAGACATTAGATTAATGATTTTAGTGGAAGAACCAGGTAAGTTACCTTTTTAAAAAGGAAAGCTTATCTGAAGAAAGCTATCTCAAGGAATGCTTATTTTTACTCAGTGGAAGAACCAGGTTAGTGACATTATTCGAGCAATCTTTAAGTGGAAGAACAAGATAATTGACTTAGCAACAAAGAGTCAACAAGCAACCTTAGAAAATCATTCACTTGGTATTGAATGCTAAACACGTAAGAAGAAAATGGAAAACGTGAAACAGCCGCTTCCATACTTTAAGGAGCAAAGTATCTATAGATTCTTTTAGAACCAATAATTAAAAAATAGACAGAAAAATATAGCCTTAAAATTTCTTTGACACATAATTTAATTGTTTCAGTTTTGCAATACTTCGCGTTTTGCAATACAAGGTGTTTCAGACACACTGTCTTGTTAATGAATTTATTTTGTTTACTGAGCAAAGTCTCGTTAAAAATAAATATTATTTTGCGCTTACGTAACTTTTTCAGTAAATTATTATTTTTATTACTAACTGAATACATGTTTTTTTTGGGGGTGGAAAAATTAACAAATAAATTGGTAATGATTGAAATCATGAAGTTGTGTGTAAATAAAAGAGATACTGACACAAGTTAAAACAATTCCAGTTTTTTTAAATTTCTTATTTGTTACTCTTTCTGATAGCTGTACGCTATTAGATTAATAAAAACTTGTTTTAGGAAATTCATCTGATAAAAAAAATAAGATCAATGACATTCCGTATTATTATTGGTCAAAGCCAAATCCTGATGGTCAAAAATTTCAATAATAAATTATTTTTTCCAATACTTATCCCAATCAGTGGGGTCATAAAAACCTATTTCTAAAGTACCTAAAGTAGGTATTGTGGTGCCTATATTAGTACAAGTTAAAACAGCACCAATTAACATAAGTAATACCTATAACCCCCCATAAAAATTTTGATATTTTTAATTTGAAAATAACAAGAGTACACACAATCAAAACACTTCATGTTAACTTCAAAATTTTATGTGCACATCTTATATATTTGACAAAAATAATTTTCATAACTTTTTCCCAAAAATCAGCATGGCTGAGGGGAGACAGATTAAGTTTACATCTGTTTAAATCAGAGATAAATGGCTAATGGCCACCAGCAGAGATAGTATTACTGATGCAAATTATACTTAGTAAAAGACAGATCAAAGTTTCATTGGCTTAAGGCTAAATATGAGAGGTTTTTGTGATTTTAACCTCTATTTTGGGCAAATGTTCACTATTTTCACTTAAAAATTCTTCTCAAAAGTAAATGTGATCTGTTTCTTTAATCAAGTGTTCTCGTCTAAATTTAAGGCTAAGAAGTTGAAAATGAAAAAATGCCGCATGTGCACCAAGTGGATTTGATATACAATGCCAAAAGCTTGTGAAATGGTTTCTTGAAATATGAAAAAAATGTGTCATGCAGCCAATCATCATCATACGACTTACCTCAATGGAAAACAAGAAAAACAGTTTTAGAAACACTTTTATAAATTTTTTAAAAAAATTCTTTTTTTGTGCATAAAACTGCTAATTTTTAATAAAAAATAAAAAAAATTAAAATCGTTTAATTTTTTTCAACAGCTATATATATTTTTTTTATATTAAAACTAATAAAATATTTTTATTCAGTCATAGACATAATTTTGTTAGAAACAAATTGATCTAACATTTTAATCAGAATTGGCATAAAATTTCATTTTGAAACAATAATTTAACCGAGAAATATGATCACCAATCTAAGTGATAAATATGATTAAACTTCTACTGATTGAATGCTGAGATCACGCTGCCTCTGAATCAGTTTGGACAATTTACAGACAAACAAGGCTAGATAATAAAATGATAAACTAAGCTAGATAAACAAGGCTTAATGCCAATTTTCACCAAACTAAAATTGCCAAAATTTTATTTCGTGAATATGAGCCTAAAGATATGTTTAAGTACATTTAATTTAGTTTTTCGAGCATAATATATTTGTAGAAAAATATTAAAAATCCTTTTAAAAAAAACAAAATGCTACATACAAAAATCATTAAAAAGCTTTTTTATGAAAGAATTACGATCAAATAAATAAACCCGAAAAGTTTCCAGGTTATGTCATGACTAATATACTAAAAAAAAATGAGCAAAGTAACAAAAACAAGAATCAAATAAACTTTAAAGCGCATTTAGAAAAATTCTCTAAAATGTTACTTACCTGGTTCATCAATTAAGCACTTCTAACATAAAATGAAATCTTTCTTTAGAAAAAAAAATTCTCATTTTTTAACAAAAAAATCATAATAAGATCATACCAAAAAGAGCCCTTTAAAGAATGCAAATACAAATATGTGAACTTTGATTATCACACTGAATAGTGTTTTTGAGAAGATTATAAATAAACTTTTTAATGATCCACAAATCACCCTCATCAAATTGTGTCAATCAACTGTTGTGCTTTGTTTACATGTAATTATAATGTTACAATTCTCAGCAAATCCCTGGATAGAGATACTTCTTGAATGCAAAGTCAGAATAATTTATTTGTATTTCTTACCCTTCAACTTGTTTGCAGTTTTGTTTTTCATAAGAATTATAAGCATCGGTTTCAGTTACGATAGTTTTAATAGGTAAATGTGCTTATAAGTACATAAGCATTGCATATTTCCACCTTTTTCGTTTATGCTAATGCTAAATACAGTTGTTAAATTATTTGTCACTAACCACTTTTTATTCCTTATTTTCAATAAATTATGATTATGAAAAATATTTACTAATATCTTTCAAAACGTAAATGTCAAAGTTGTTGTTAGAACTTTGTAAAACTAGCTTTTGCTTTGTGTCATCAACAAATACTATTGGTGTTTTCAGAAGAGAACAGACTATGTCTATGCAACAAGATGGCATGAAAGTATCTGACATTTACAAACAACTGAAAAATTCAAATAGAAGCATAAGGATATATAAAGCATATTTAAATAAACATAGCAAAAACGATTCAACATCAAGTAGGCACAGACACAAGAAAATAACAAAATGTAATAACAGATAATTGAAGTGGATTGTGAGAGAAAAAAGAATAGTGGAATTTAAATTTAAAAAAAGAAAGCAGAAATACTAAAATAATATTAAAATAAAATAAAAATATAAATAACCTCTATCTTTATTCTGGCAAAAGCTCTTAATAAAAGATTGGAATTTTTCATCCTCTTCTCGTTCTGATCCAGCAAGGGCATAAACTACTGCAAAAGGAGGAGGATGTTCTTCATTTTCAGGTATTCCAATCCTTGCAACCTCTAGTTTTTCAAGCTTGTTTTTCATTACTCTCATGCTGTGCATTAAAACTTCCTTTTCATCTTCTAGTGCACTCACACGCATTTCCAGGCGTGAGCATGTACTTTTTAAACTTGCACGTGATGCTTCCAAATTATGCATGCGTGAGTACGCAACCTGAAAAATTTATAATTTAAAAATATAAACCTTCATTTATAAAATCTTCACAAGCGTTCCGTGGGATAAAGGTTTGATTCTTAACCATGTCATCTCTAAGGACATGGGATTTTCACCCCATGTAAATTTTTTAATTTCCTTCTAAAAAAGCAGTTTTGAAAATAATACTCTCTGAAATCTTCACTATTTAGGATCAAGGATTTAAGAAACTTTGTTTACAGTTTTGGTGTACATTTTAAATTAAAAATTTATAATAAACCTAATTTACTATAAAATGTATGAATCCTTTGCCTGTTTAAAGCTTTTACTACAATATGTCACATAAAGTAAAAAAAATGAGACAGAACGATTATGTTTTGTACAAAGAATGTCCAAATCTATCTAATTAATTTTCATTTCAATGAGGAAGATTAAATGGCAGATTTCAAATCACAATGAGTGAAATTGTAGTTTACAGTTTAATTTTCGAAATATCTATTTTATTAACATAAAATATAAGCTTGTTTTATAAAGGGTTATTTCAGTTTAAAATCAAATTATTACTGGTTTACATTATTTTTTCTCTTTGTATAAAAAGAAATTTTCTTCATTTTTTTCTAAAAATTAATAATAAATCAACCTTGGAACTAAATGATTGGTGAATGTGCACAAACAAATCATAAAATTCCCAAACCACACTATATGATTTGTAAATCATGGTAATCACTGTTTGATTTGAAAATTGCATTAAATTCAATTACAATGTATGATTCGGAATTGAGCAAATAGGTATCATGATTGTTTGTAAATCACATTAATGAGAACTGTCCTGAGTGATTCATAAATTACGTTAAAATGTTTGCATAAATGCATATCTTAATTAGCAGTTTTTTAATTGAGTTTTTCTGTTTTTACTCTGCGTATTGCTTACTTGTACTTTTGTGTAATTGAAGCAAGCATTATAAATCATTTAAGGATTCTTTGCATAAAGCTTGTCAGATTATCAAGAATCCTAAAAATTCAATGAAAGGGTGATTAATCTCAGTCTAACATGCTATTATAAATTGAGCTAAATATTACTTGTTATTTGTCTGATACAAAGTGATGGGATAGCACTTGAGAAGAAAAATTGCTTCTATCTGATCAGGTGGTACTTAAATTAAGGAGTTGCATACCTTCAGTATCTTTAAATTATACAAAAAAGGTTACTCTTAATTTTTCTTATTAAAAACTATCAATTAAGCTTTTTTTGGCAATTTTTTACTAAACACAATGTATTGATTTCAATGTAATATTTCAATTAATGAGTTAAAACTTATAAATGTAATAAAATGAAGGGGAAAAAAAGAATTTAAAAAATTTATTTAGAAAAAACAAAAAATTCAATTAAATGATGTTATGAGTTATTACAGGTTAAATAAACAGGACTTTTAAATAAACAGAATTGATTGAATGTTGTCCTAAAATAAGTTTTTTTTTCTTCTTAAGAGCTGCCAGTAACCACAGAAGTATCTCAAAAATGGGGGGGGGCTCTCTCCCTTGTCTGTGTATATTTGTGTGTGTATACATAGATAGATACTACTGCATCAATTTGTAGCGGGACAATTCATTATAAGCACTATTCGCTGCAGCGACAATTCACCATGAGCACAACTCGCCCCGAAGATAATTCATGATTGGATAGAATAAATACCAAATTTATAATGGCTGGTTGGGAAGGATGCAGGGGTATGTAGAGCTTCACAGGGAACCATTTTCATATGATGACTTCTATGATTGTTTGTATCTAACATAATGAGCAAAAAGATGCACAGTGAAAATTACGAGAAATTCGTAACTCATGTTTTTTTTTCTAAAACATTGCACAAATGCAAAAAAAAAAATTTGGGTCAGAATTTAATTTATTTAGCTCACTAAAACTTTCAAACAAGCATAAAAAATTAAACCGTGTTTATTTAATAAGTTTTAGAGAACTCAAAAAGTTTTTAAAAGGTGGGTTGTTATATTTTAAAGTTTTCATTAATTTTAAGTGCGAAGCACAATCAAAAGATATAAAACGATTTTAAAACTTTAATGCAATTTTTATGCTGACTACTAAAATTAGCAACTTTTCCAAAAGTGTTCTGAATTTCAAAAATTTAATTTTTTTGATCCAAACACTGCTAGGGTGTGCCCATGTGTAAAGATGGTGTCAAAGCTGATAAAACTGCACCATGTAACTTGCATTACAAATGCCATTAACAAATATACTACAGCAGGGAAGACATTTACGCGCTATAGCGCGTAAAATACGCAAAAAATTGAAATCGGACGCAAAAAAATGATCGCTACGCGTCCCGCGGGACGCGTAAATTTTTGAAGAAAGTTTATAAATTTCACGACTTTTTAATCTTTGATATCGAAACATTTTAATAAAATCGAAAAATTCTGACGCAAAAAATAAATCTGTATGCATCCTCGGTATAAAAAAAAAAAAAACCCTGTCTCCAGAGTTAGACCAACACATGTTAGACACACAGGTGGGAAACCAGTTCTATGACTCAAAATGTTGACCATTATAGCAGGAAACATCCTACAAGACTTTCCCCCCAAACTTCTTTTCTCTGCTGAAAACAGTGACGTCATCGGAACTGAGGGACGCAGGTGTTATTGAATGGGGGGGAAATGACCGTACCGGATTTAAGTGACCTCGAATGAGCAAGTAGAAAGAAAGAGGTTGAAGGGGTGGGAAAAATTGAAGGGGTTTATTTTCAAAATATCATAGTACACACGTAGAAGATTAGGGTTGATTGGTTATTTAATACCTACGTCATGCAATCACATTTTTAGTGGCCCCTTACCCTTTATTTTCGAAGGAGGTACTTACGCACCGTTATATTAAGCTATATGTTACTTTTAGTTCAGTTAGAGTCAAACATTTTTAATGACCTGACCTACGCATCCAAACTTTTAATTTTGTTTTATAATTAATACATGTGCAATAATTAAACGATGCCTAAAGTACGTAACTTTAATATTAGGTGGAAAACTGAATTTAATTGGTTAGTCTACGAAAATGGTAAAATGTTTTGTGATATATGCCGCAAGGCACGAATAAAAAATGCATTCACCACTGGCTGTGAGAATTTTCAACGTAGCGCACTAGTCCGGCATATTGACACATCGGGAAAAGACTCTTCTGCTCATCATTTACGTGCTCTTAATATATTAGAACAGCAACGGTCTTTTAAAGTGTCATCTGAAAAACAAATTGCTAATTGTGTTCAAGATTATTCACAAATGCGAACGGTCTATTGGATGGCTAAAGAAGAAATAGCAGAAGCTAAGTTCCCCGCATTAATTGAATTGCAGGTAAGTTTTTATTTTAATTATTAAAGAATTATAATTTACAAAAATTTTTATGTTTATACAAGTAANATACAGTGAACTCTCACTTATGCACCGGTGTAAGGGGCCAAGAGAAAAAAGCGCATAAGTGAAAGAGGCGCATAAGTGAAAAACTTCAAAATTCTAAAACGCAACGCAAATTGCAGTGACAACATGAATAGATATGTTTCTAAAGATTTAATGTTAATATTTATACTGTTTTGGTATTTACTATAATTATACAAAAGAAAAAATTTAACATACCTTAAGACAATTTATTTTCTTATAAAATAATCTTAATACATGTTTGTATTTGTTTTCGCCGACGTTATTCGAAAACAGTTTTTTCCAGTTCATATAAATGGGATAAGGGGGTGTTTCAAAAGCAAAAATAAATTGTAAATAGTCAGGAATAGTGTCTAAAGCTTTCAATACTGCTGTGTGATTTGGAGAAACTTTATCATCTCGTCAGTATCATCCACTACGTTCTCATCATTCACAAGTTTTAGCTAGATATAAATGAACAGTTCTTCATGAAAAATTTGAGTTTTATGGGAGGGGGTGAAACATATCGCATGATAAATTTCTAAGAAAAATACTTGACGTCATAATATGCTGCACAATAAGTTGTTCAAGTATTTCTCTCACTAAACAGATCACCTCCTTTTATGTACTCATAATGTCCATCTGACTGCAAGTAAGTGATCGCGGTCTCTTTCATCTTTCGTATTCCAGGTGTCTTCTTTTTCTAGAAAACAGCATGGGGGTAAAACTAACCTCTGGACAAGAGGAATTGGTCATTTTCTGAAAGATGAATGGGCTTTCATTGTTGTTGGTGTAAAAGATAAGACACCGTATTCAAAATTTTAGAAAGAATCTCTTTCCAGAAACAGCAAAAATGAAAAGGTCACAGGGGGAAGCAAATTCAATAGAATCTAACAACATATATTTCTTTTTATCTGTAACAAGGATTGCTCATTTGCTTCATTTTTAATTTAAAACATTTTTTTTTAAAAGAAAAAATATTTGAAGGATTAAAAAATTAAAATGCCAGCCAAAAATTTCGGCGCATAATTGAAAAATTTATTTTTAAAGTGACGCATAAACAAAGGCAATCATTATTTTCCTATCTAATGTACTGGGACCTATAAAAATCGTCATATAAATGAAAAAGGTGCATAAAAGAGGTGGTGCATAAGTGAGAGATCACTGTAATTATATAAAAAATTTTAAATTTCATACTATATTTACTTATTGGAAGCAGGTGCTGCCATAAAAAAATAGCCTGAATCAAAAGTGCATGCAGAAAAACGAAACTTCACAGCACTCTCGCAATTACCATTTTAATGGTTAAAATTTGTATATGAGAGAATTTAAGAAAATGAAAATCATAATTGCGATATAAAAGGCGAAATTTAGAAAAGGTACTAAATTGAAACTTTGTATGCATTTACCACTTGAAATGAAATTAATTTTAATACTATGAGAAACTAACTTAATATTTTACATAAATTATATGCAAAGTTTAGTTAAGGATTGTTATAATTTATAAAGTGAATTTAGAAGATAACTTATAAAAAATATTATTAACTATGACCTTTCATTTATAAAATGAGAGGGGGCTAAAACCATTTCTGGCCTCAGGTTCCCCCCTCCCTCCGAGTGCAGTATCAATTATAATTAAAAAAGAAAGAAATTTTGAACATCTCAATTCTTTGATCCTAAATGTAAAACATTTTTTAAAAAAAAGCAAAAAACAATTTTTTGTTTCACACAAAGAAACAAAGAACCCACTTTATTATTTTTCTAAAAAAAAAAACATGGTTTTAAAATAAAGTCTAAAATCCAACTTCCAAATAATGCAATAACCATAAAATCAGTTATGATTACCATGCTGAATTTTTCAAAATATTAATATGAGGACAAAATTGGTGCTTTATGTTATGCAAAAGTGAAAATGTCTCTTTCTTAAATGACTTTTGCATTATTCTGTAAAATAAGGGAAGGCATAATAAAAATGATTCAAAACAAACTAAAATAAATTCTGTAATAACTCACTAGAGTTGTGATATTTTTAATAAAAATATATATTTAAAATAAATAAAGCATTTAAAATATTCAAAAAATTTGTTATATTGAATAGTTTTTTTTTTTTTAAATTTTATAGAGACGGTTTAGGCTAAATATAATTGTGATAGTATTAGTATAAATAAATATTAAAAAATCAAATAATATTTTCAAAATGTTCACAGTATTTGCTACTTTCTAAAATGACCTGTTCAAACTACATTAGTATGACAAATAAATAAAAGTTATAAAATAAATGAGAGACCTGCAGTTGTTCCATCAACTCCATATTTTGAGCCTTAAGAGCTTTATTTGTTGACCTAACATTTTGCAACTCAGCACTGTTGTTGAACTGTGTCTGAACCATTTCTTCCACAAGAACATGGTATTCAACTTCATATGCATGAAGCTGGCGACTAATGTCCAAGTTAAAAACCTATTAAAAAATTTCAATTACTCAAAAGTCTTTTCATGTAGTTTAAGATGCTAATCTATTACAATATATACATGCATGTATGAATATATATATACATGTATATATACATATATGTATACATATATACGTACATATATATCTACACATATATATCTACACATATATATACATACCATGCCATGGAACGCCATACCATGGGATGGGAGAAATCTTACATAAAAAATCTCTTTCATCTCTTTTATACTAATTTAAAAGAAAGAAAATATGAGTTTAGACAAACCTAGAGTAAGTCATGAAGTTGAAAAATGTATTTCGGAATCTAGAACTGAAAAAAAGTATCAAAATATGAAACTATTGGAAGAGAACTTCATTGTGTAAACCTAAGTTATCTTCTCATATTTTATTTTTATTTTGACGTTTTAAAAATTTCTTTTCAGTATTTGAAAATGCCTTGCTTAATCTAGGTTTGTCTGAACTCACTTTTTTATACTTTTAATTTTAAATTAGTTATGGAGGTGAAAGAGAATTTGGAACGAAAAGTTTCTCCCATGATATGGTGCTCCCTTAAAAACACAATGCAGCATTAAATGAAATATAGGATGAAAATATTTTAAATGAATTTTAAGTATTTTTTGCTAAAATATTTTTTGACGCAAAAAAATGCATCTTGAAAAATATTAGAAAAATAAAGGAAAACATAATGCTTTATGATTTTGTTTGCTTTGGTTACAGAATTAAATAATGCAAAATTTTCAATAGAATTAAAAAAATAAAAAAATTTGTTTTAAGCCAGGCAATTCTGGTATATGCTGATACATATAATGAAACATGCTTCTTTGCTTTGTTTGTAAGAGTTTATTATTCAGTCTATTTTCCAAAAAAAAAAAAAAAGGAATTATTATAATTGGTGTATTAAAATTAATGAGCAGTACTGTAGTCTAATCAGTGCAGATTAAATCCTCAGTGCTAGTTTATAGTTGTTAGAAATGAAATAAAAATTTTAATTACTTAAACAATTATTTAAGTTATGTTTTTGTAAAATGGACTGATCTTGCATTATCAACAGTCTGTACAAAGATCTTTAAGCTGATATTCATAATCTAATATCTTTTCATGAGGATCTTTTCATTTTATTTTAATTTGAAAAGCACAATGGGAAGTACTAATGCAATATTTTACAAATTTGTAGGATTCTCATAATTCATGAAGTTGTGTTGTAGGTTGTGAATTCAATGACACACAAGAAATCAATAACTAGTTAGGCGGAAGTAGAAGACTTTCCATAAAAGTCCTGAGCAATCTAAGATGTGTTCAGTTGAAGCTCTGTAATGATGGCATTTAGGGTAAGGTGGTTAGATCTTTCTGCCTCAGAATATAATAGGCACTTAATGTGGCATGAGAAGCTGGTGTTGGACCTCCAGTCACAAGGAAGTATTAGAGATAGACCCGGTTTTCTACCCTTATATCAGTGATGTTGTGGAGATCAGGCAATCCAATTTTGTGCTTTTATTGGGAAAAGTATCTTTGTGAGTCAGCTTTACAGAAGAGGGAGAGAGAAACCTTCTTAAGCAAGGCTGTCAGCCATTTCTTTCCCATTTCTTCTTTTTGATCATAATTCATTCAATATATTATTAGAAAATTATAGATATATTTTTAAAAAAATTTAATTTTTTTAAAAATATATCTATAATTTTTTTCAGCGGCATTTAATTTTAAATGATTGCATAAAGACAACTGCGATCTAAAGTAAATAATTGACTATTGATTGGGTCTAAATATAATTACAAATGCAGAAATCTTTTTCAAGAAAACTGCTTAAATTTTTATCACTCAAAACCTTTTGAACTCTTCCACATAATCCAAGGGTTCCGCAGAACACTTGTTAGGAACCATTGGTAAATGTAATAATTACAAATTAACTCCATTTTGATTGGTAATTTATTTGCTAGAGAAATTTTGGTGCATGAAAGTCTCATTCTTTACAAATCTCTAAATATTTACATTCTCATAAGAAACCAGTTTTTTTAAAATCTACTGCAATATTTACAAAAAATTTGTTTGTTTTCATAACTAATATATTTTTATTACAGTTTTTTAAACTAATGTTTAAAGTCAATTTACAACATTACAACATTTCTGGGCATCAGAGCCAATTTTTAGGAATGAGCTTGTTTTAGAAAGGAAACTAGGAAAGCAGTTTTTTGCTTTTGTGTAAAAGTTACTAAAATATTAGGTACCAGCTTCTATTTTTTGGGCAATTAGGTGCCTGGGAATTGTATAACCCTACTTATATCCATTCTACAAAGAAATTGTCTTAACTGTAAATAGCTTAGTTTGGCATTTATAAATCTTATATAATTTAACTAAAAGATAATTTAAATGAAAAACTATTGAAATAAAAAATTTAACATTAAATTAATATGTCACACCTGCAACGCTTCTTAAACAGCAATTATGGAAATAATTATTAAACAGCAATATATTTTTGAATTTAGTTTTTATGTACTTATTATCTTTTATATTAGTAAGAAGTAGAATAAAACTGTCTTCTTAAATTATATTTTTTTCACGGCTCTTGTTCATTCAAGTATTCTAGAGGTGTCAATTAGTTCTTGGACTCATAATGTAAACTTAATAAATTCTCCTTAAAATTTTCTATATAATTTATGTACAGATATTTTTTGTTACTGCCTACAAATTCTTTTTGTAAGTGATTTTATGTATTTATTTCACTCTACTTCAGTTTTTTCCCTGTTTCTAAAACAAATTCAAATTGTCGGTAAATAAGGATAAATATATAATTTTGTTATTCAATTGATGTACATTTGAGTATTTTATATTTAATTGCATATTTTTATTGTGCATGTTTATGTATAAAATTTTTATAAAAGTAAATGATAACATCATTTAAAAATTTTAAAATAGAAATTAAACATTTTAATGGTAAAATGTTACAAAATGCAATATTATGTGGTTAGTTTTGAATATACTAATGAAGATGACATGCTTTTAATTTTCAATCTATGATTTTGAATAATTATCAACAAAATGAATACATAGAATGATAAGAATAAGAGAAGTTAAATATTACTTTCAAATACCATTAAAATTTTTATTTCATGCTGATGACAATCGTTTCTGCAAACATTTTAGTTTTTCCATGATTGTAGTCCATGATAAAATCATGTCTTGTGATTTTTCTAACTGACAAGAATGAACGAAAATTTAATAGGACAATCAGGTTATTATACATAGGGAAATATGTGTGAGTTCAAGGTTTAAAATTAGTTGGTTTGCAATTACAAAATTTAGTAGTAAGGCTGTCTAATTCATATTTTAGTTTCAAACTTTTTGTACCAAATTTGAAATTCCATTTTCTTATTTACTCCCCCTTTATGTAAAATTATACCAAGAGTTCTATTAGACTGAAAGGAAATTAACAAGCTATTTATTGTTATATATGTTTAAATGTGCTTTATTAATTTTTTTAAAAAATGCAATCTATGCATTTTGATATTTCAACAATCTTACAATTTATTGAAAAATATTTTTTTAACTTAATTTTTTATTTGAATTGACGGCTTTGTAATTTAAAGTGATAAATGTTATAAATTACTAATGTATAGGAGAAAATGGTATAAAAATTTATAAGTGATTGTTTCTTTCACTGGTTTCCAGAACTTATTTTGCCAATTAAAGTAAACTAAGTGGGTCACATATAAATTTAGAAATGTTTTTCTGCTCCTTTCAGGGTCTTCTTTCCATTTTCTTAATTATCATCATATTGATACTATTTTACTATTTAATGTTTTAAAAAGCCAAAATGATTCTAAGTATCTAACATATCTGATACTGATGAGTTGTTTAAACTGATGTTCACGACTTAAATATCATACATTTTTATTAAGATTTTTATTAGTTCTTTTGCTTTTATACATTTAAAATATTTTATTAAGAAATTATTACCTCTACCTTATGGGTCACAAAATAAAATGATGCATATTCATTATCTTATTTTCACTTCAAAACAACCAAAACATTAAAAAACTATTATGAATGAAATCTTTTTTGCTTTTCTTGTATGTTTCATCGTAATTTACTGATACAAATTTGGGAATATTAATATAAGAATAATACTTTCAACTATGCGAGTTCCAGCAACAAAAACTAGTTAATGTATATAAATGAAAAAGTTTTTTTTTTTAATGTTAAAAGCAGATATAAAATATTTAAAAAAGATTCAAGCATTTTTTAAAAATTAAAAATAGTAATATACCTGAGAAAAAATAATCTCCATTTGTAGAGTATCCACAGATGGCAAAGAAGATTTAAGAAAATTCATACAAGATTCAAAACTGTCACATGACATAATGTAATCTTTATAATTTCCCATTAACAAGAGTGAAATTTTGAAGACAACTTCGATTCCATATAAAAATATAAGGTCTAAAACAAAATAAATACAATTAAAATTCATAACAGTTATAAAGGAAAACTAATAATTTTAAATTATAACTCACCAAAGAGTCGGGCAACAAAACCAAAGGGAAACTGCGAGGCAAACAATGTCAGAAACCATGGGGCAGCATATAATGTGGGTGAGATATCCAATTTCTCAAGATGGTCATAAAGATCACGATAACTGTCATGAATTAACCGTGACAACTGATACATTTGTATCTGTTAAAGAAAGGTTTGGAACTATAAAAACATTCAATTCACTTTAAAAATATAAATGATTAGGAAATATTATATGAATAATACGATATAAAAGAATTTGAACTAAAAGGTTTTAGTTTCAATTTAAAAAAAAATAGTGTTTTGGTATCCTTATAATTGGTGCCACCTCCTCGAAAAAAAAAAGAGAGAAGGGGCAAAATGCCCCACAAAAATATAAGTCCAATATTAGTAGCCTATAAGAAAAATTAGAAAATAATTTATTCTCATAAATACAGAACAATAATTCTGATATGATTTATTACACTAACAAAATAACCATATTAATAACATTTGTCAGCCATGAGTAGATAGTAAACACAGTCAAAGAGCTAATCAAAACATTGCAATTGAAAAACATACTTAATACACTAAAAAATTAAGTATTAAAAAGTGTTTTCAATAAAGCAACTGAACACGTGATCAAGCTCTCACCAATTAATATTGATGCTGATCAAAACAAATGAGGAATAAAAAACTTTAAGACAATCTTCAAAGTGTTTTCTAATCCTTATTTGAAAAGTAAACTGGCATGCAAGAAACACATTTTATTTGAAATTGAAAATGTAATGTAACTAATTTGTACTACACTTAATAAATAAATTTAGTTTATTTTCTCTTGTACTGGATATAAGAAACCAATTATTTGAAATAGATTAGAAGAAAACTATATTGAACCCACATGAGAATAAAGATATAATAATGGAAAGTGTTAAAGAATAAACTCACTTGAAAAGCTACCATATCAGTTTTATACTGCCTTCTTAAGCCTAAGTCAAACATAAGATACTTCATCATGGAAAAAGCTTGATCTTCTGGCATCTAAAATAAAAACTTAATTTAAATCAAAATTTTATTCATATACTTATTGTATATAAATGAAATTTAAAAAATGTAGAAAAGCACTAATATCATATAAAACAGAAATAAGACCATTTTGGCTGTATAATTAAGCTAATTCTCAATTTATTTTAATTATATTGTTCCAGCCAGTAAGTACAAACTTAAAGCTCTAATCCTTTTGGATCTGACTTTGGTTCAAGTCCAAACGCATCATGTTCCTGATGTTTTTAAAAGATATCAGGTAGAGAAGAAAATCAACTGAGTTTAAGACAATGTATTACGTGTAATCTAGTAAATAGTATTCGTAAAGAGTTTATTAAATTTCAAGTTTTTGACTAATGTTTTATCATGTTATCAGTCAGAGAATACATTTTATTCCCAGTTAACAATGCTGTTATGGATTCACTACAGATATAAATTTCATACTTGAAAGAAAATAATCAAACTTTCAATATCTGAATAATACACTAAGACCATGTCTAACGTATTTTTACTATAGTTAGTTACTCACATAAATTTTTCTACTTTAATGAGAATCGATAATATCAAATTTTTTGCTAATATTTCAGTCATTATGACCTAGCTAATGGCATTAAATGATTGATTGATTGAATGTAGGGTTTAGTGGCACAAGGTCCAAATGAGGACATGCTGCGCCAAACAGTTCGGTAAAATAGTTTAAGAGTCTAAGTGCATGCAAATTTAATTGTAGCACAATTATAACTGATAAAATAGTACTAATAAGTGAGTAAGACAAGATTAATGATTTAAATAAAATCAGATAAAAGGTATGAATAATGTACAGTAAGTAAAATGTACGAAGGTGATAGGATATTTACAAAAGAGTATAAAACAGTAGACGTGTTAAAACTTTTATATGAAGTTAAAAATACCAATGACACGTAAAAATGCTGAAATCAAGTCAAAGTTAAAACACAGTAAAATTTTGTGAGACAACTAAAATGGTAAAAAGTGAATAAAGTCATAAATAAAGTAAAACTTATATACAATTTAAAATGCCAATAGCACATAAAAATGCAAAAATTTTAGGATGATGAGAGTCACCTAAGAAATCTCCCATAGATAAAATAGNTTTTTAGAAAATCTGAATTTTTGATAAAAAAGCTGAAATTTAAGAGATAAAAGTGAAAAAAGCGGAAATCCGCTAAAAAGCGGAAAAATCTCATCCCTGAGGAAATGGTTCCAAATTTGATTTAGTAGAGTGCAATTTATTATTCACTTTGTTATCCCACTGTTGCTGCAATAAAGATTTTATATACTTTTTAATATGCATTTTTATATCTGAGAATGGTATAGATAAGTTTAGGGCAGTAGTAGCAGATCGCGCTGCTGTATCGACTGAATCATTGCCTGGGATTCCAACATGACTTGGACTGATGGCATTGAAAGCTAACCTAGCTAATGCACATTTTAGATTATTTATCTCGTACTATGAGGGGAAATTGGAAATCACAAGATATAATTACCTTCATTCTGAAGCAACTAGTTTGAGCAGAAGATCCATATTTTTTCATTAAAATTTTTTTTAAAGACTTTATGATATTACAAATATACAATGCTTGGCAATTGCTAAGGAACAGTTACATTTTTTGGCGTGGTTAGAGCGGAATGCATCAAACAGGTTTCTGTTCATGCAAATCAACTTGATTTTATTGCTGTGAGATGGTTCTGGAAAAATAGTTATACCAGTAGTAATTGCAAGGACTATAGCTGCTGCTGGTCTGCTTAAGAGTGACATTTCTGTTCCGTTTCACCACTTCAGAAACATATAGTTACTCTGGAGGTGTGGTGCTACTACCACGACCCCTGGCATGCTATGTATAGCATTTCCACCTTCAGCGGTATTCTTTAGTTACAAGATGACACTCTTATTACCGCAGAAGCAGTGGTAACATTTTGACCACTTCTGTAAGAACTGATCGTCCACGATTGTAAGAACTCAAATGATATCTTGCTAACATCTTGCACTTAATTATTGCAACACCACGCTGAATTTCACAGAAATAAGTGCAGAAACCTATGGCGCTATTTTGGTTAAATACCTAAAGTAAGAATTTTCAAATGAAGGGAGAGATTGTGTTCATCACACCCTCCGCGCTTGATTTACTGTTATTTGTCTGCTATCAAGAATGCTACTTTGAAAAAATCAGTTGTGCCTTAGCAATTGACAATTATATGAAAACTGATTTTCGTAATGTTGTGCAGTTTTCAAGATAAAAAGTCTAAAAATTTTGGGCTTCTTTTTTTTTAAAAGGGTTAACAACTAAATATGACTATTTTTAAAAAAATTTTAAAAGCTTAAAGTATGGCAATATTCTCTGACCTTTGATTTTTGGTACAAATTTTTGTGCAAAAAATGGTTTAATTAAACTATCAACTGGACGGCCAAAATAAGGTGCATCTTTGAGGTAACTTGGCAGGCCACTCATAAGAGGTTCTTTCAGCTATGGCCATTAAAAATGCCTTATGCAACACAGATACCACAAGCAATTTTTGTGGCCTGAGAACCACCTAAAGGAAGTTAAAAGAAGGTGTCAGAATCAAAGAGTTAAAAGCTAAAGGAAGGTGTCAGATATCCTCATTTTTCTCAACCAATTCAATCCTAATTTTTCTCAACTTATTCTATTTAATTGATCTGAAAATTAACTTAAGTAATCTTGAAGATAAAACATAGATTTTGGTAGAATGAAACTGAGATTCTGGTAAAATAAAACATCCACTTTCAAATGCTTTAAAACATTATGCTAAAAACTTTTAATGACATTTGAAAGGTTAAAAATTTATAAAAATTTGCACGAACTTTATAGAATTAAAAATAGTATTACTCACATGCAAAAGAAGTATTCCTGCTACAAAACTAAGTCCTTGACAATAACCAACTTCTTTATCGAGCAGTGAATACGCTTTCAAAAGGTTAAATAAAGATAATTGTCCTGCTCCTAATGTTTGTGAAAAAAATGGATGGTTTGGAAATGTTCTTCCTAAAATAATAAATAAAAAATTTTAACATAATTATTTCTTAGAAATTTAAACAATAAAATACATTCAATTTTAACAATAGCTTGCGAATCTCTATGTATAAATAAACCAGGTATTCTCAAAATAACTGATGAATTCATAAAAAAAAAAAAAATAAGAGATAAAATTGTATGTGTTTCTGTGTTCTGCTTAGGTAGCTTAATTATTAAAATTAACATGAAATTTTAACTTTAGTTACACAATTTATCACTATATGGTGCTGTCAATCAAGAAAACTATAAAACCATGTTTTTTAGTGCATGTTAGACAATTCCAAGTGAAATATTCACAAGCAGCAAGTAAGTCTATTAATTCTCACCTCTGACTATGTGCTATTTTTGCCGAAAATGATAGTTATCTTAAAAAATTTTAACAGTTTTTCACTGTTAGCAGCATCACCTATTGACAAACTTTGTAATTAATTTTGAAATTTGATAAGCATAATCTATATTTTCAAAGCAGAATGCGGTAAAACATACATTTTTATTTCTTTCTGTTTCTCATAAATTTTTCGAATCATTGTTACTTTTTTAGCAACCGGTAGTTAATTAACAATAAACCATACAGGTCTCAGTAAAAGACCTGCATTTTGACAACACATGCGTTTTTAGACTTTTGCTCCATTAGTGCATTTTTTAAGATGTTATAAAGCACTATTTCAGATTTTTTTTTAGAGAATTTCCTGAAATGTTTGGATATTTTTTAATTTTGGGTAATTTTTTTGAAATTTTTAAAATTGTTAGTTTATAACTTTTCAACATTTTAAATATTTTATGCATTACAGAATTTTCTATAGATGGAGTAATTTTAATTTGTAAGCTATGTGAAAGAAAGTTGCAACCAAAAAATTAATCATTCTTGTCTAGCATTTATGTTAGATAACAGGAAATTATAAATCTAATGCAATTCTTAAATATATATATATATAATATTTTTGAAAGAAATTAAATTCATGTTCAATTGCAAGAATTTTTTTTCGTTGATTGTATTTTTCAATTTTTAAAAGCAGTTTTAGGGATTTTTTAGGTCATTAAGACCAGAGTTTAAGTGATCAAATACTGTTCAATAATCTATTGATGAAATTGTAGGTTATAAGTTTGTGATGTTATGTGCACCCTTAGAGGAAAATACTGAGATTCTTATCAGTTTCAGGAGCGCTAAGGTAAACTTATTACATCAATACCAATATAAGTACATAAATACCTATTACCACAATTAAGCCCTCACTGGCATCTGATATTCGTTAAAATATTTTTTTATTTAAACTCAGGTATTTTATTTTGTATTCTTGGAAAATATTTTTACCTGCGCACACTAGAAAGTTTTCGCAAACAATCTCAATAATTTAACTTTACATCAATTTTTGACAACATATTTATATTCGTTAAAATATTTTTTTTTTTTTAAACTCAGGTATTTTATTTTGTATTCTTGGAAAATATTTTTACCTGTGCACACTAGAAAGTTTTCACAAACAATCTCAATAATTTAACTTTACATCAATTTTTGACAACATATTTACGTTTTTACATTTGATCTTTAAAACAAAATCAAAAAAACAAAAAAAGAATAATTATACTTTTCATTCATTTTTTAAATTAAATATGGCTCAAAAACAAAACAGTGAGTTCCAGTGTTTTCTAATTTTTTTAACTTTCAATTAAATAATTATTTTAAAATGAATTTATTTCTTATAATTAGCAGAGAAATATTAGTTAATTATAGCATTAGATTTAAAGATGCAACTTTAGTCCTCAGTTTATAAACTGGAGTGGATTCAATATGATACCAAAAAAAAACGTTATTGGAAATTATTTAAAACAAAAATTAATAACATTTAAATGCAAAAGATATTTTTCATTTTATTGGATTTCCAGTGGGGAGCAGGTGAACTTTATTGATCCTGATTGCAGGAACCTATGTAGTGACATACACATAATGCAGATCCTGTTATAGGCTTCCATTCAAGTATTACAAGTGAAGAAACCACATATTTATGAGCGCTTTTGAAGAGTTAACAGACATTTAATGATGAACACAATTATAATGAATACAAGATGAAACATTTAACAAACATATAAAACAAAGTATAATGAATGATATAACAGTTTATCTGAAGTTAAGTTTTACTCTAACAAATCTGCAAAAAAAAGATGTTATTGCACATGAATGAGAACTGGGTAAGTAAAAAAGTGGAATAAATGTTCTGTTAACACGATTTTGCATATGTAATAAAATTTCAACAACATCATATATCGACGACTTCATTGTCAAACCTCCAAACACCAATGTATAAATCTTACAGTAACAATCACAGTTATATCTATACAGTTAATTATACAGTGACAACACATGTTACAAGTTGTCATAGTAGTTTTTTATTAGCATCACACTAGAGCTGTACAATGGGTTATTGGCGATGGTCTGGGAAACATCCCTAAGGATGATCCGAAGACGTGTCATAACAATTTTGATACTCTGCAGAGGGAGTGGCTTCCCCCTTTAGTAGCTCGGCAACCTGCGCACGAAGTAAGGTCTTTTACAGTAGAACAGTTCAACTAAGACCAATACAGTGGACTAGTGAGCCCCTTGCAACCAGTGTCTAGAAAATATAGACAAGTTTTTGTCAAGCATCAGATCTGCTTGAAGAAAGAGCTTATAACCATTATTTATAGACACAATCCAAAATCAAGAGTAAAACTGGCACTGCAAACCATAGAACGCGTTTGAACTTAATAAATTTCATTATCTTAAAGTAGAAAAATTTTGATTATCTAAAAATGAGAAAAACTAGAAGAAATAAATGAAGTTGGAATGTTACCTGAAAAATAAAATACTCGGGGCACTGTCAGTTTTTGGTTTCACCACTGACAACAGAAAGGTTCCTGCATGTTGACAGGCAGTGTGTCCCCTGATGAAGTGCTGTTCTGCTAACACACATATCTTAAAATTTTGTATAATTTTTGTTTTCTGCTAGAATTGTTTTTCTGACTTAATAAATTAAAATAAAACAAATTTGTATTTAGCTGCTTTAAGCACTTTTCTATTTTGATTTATTATTTTAAATGTTACTTACTTATTTTGTCTTTTAACTCAATTTGTTAATTAGTTTCAATTCTTTGATTAGATTTGATAAACTAACCTAAATGACCTGTTTCAAAATATGTATATGATGAAAAATGACTAGGTATAAAAAAAATATTATATGCATCTCTATAGGTTGGGAGCCCTTGGTTTACTCAATTTTTTTCAGCATAATAAAAGTTTAATTGGATGGAAAATAAAAATACTTACCAATATCTATCAGAATTGAATGTTGGTGAGAAGTCAGCTGTTTAAGAAGCTCTTCGTATGGAATTTCCTCATCATTATTTTTAGAATAAGACCAAAAATTTATATGATTTTGAGCTAAGTATTGCCAGATTTCACCTCTTTTACTTTTTGGAATACCTATTTATAATAAAATACAAGTTTTAAATTTAATAGGTTTAAATTTGACGGTTTTTCATCTAGATAAATATTATTTAAGAAAATCATTCTTACACACTAATAAATTAAATCATACTATAAAAGGTTAAATAAAAACTATATGAAAGTAAATAAAAAGGTAACTTATCTGAACAGAATAGAGCCCAAAACAGAAATTTTATTATTCCTCAATTTGAAATCAATTTTAGATTTTAACATTATTTAATCAGAACAAATTTAAATAAGAAAAATCTGAATACTGGATAATCATGAAAAATATTATAACAACTGTTTGTAAACCAAATATGTCCTAAAATTTTTGTTACTATAATAGATTATATATATATAAGACAATAGAGAGAAAAAAAGGAGAAAAGAAAAGAGAAAGGCACAAGGTCTTATGGAGTTATTGTATTAACATTGATCATTAATCAAAAATCTGAATTTATGTGCGATTTATATATAAATACCTTGACTAGACCTTCATTTTGTTCTTTTAAGCCTGCTATGTTAAGCACAACAGTCAAAGTGTTTAGAAGGAGAGAGGAATTTTCAGAGGGGAAGGGAAATGGAGAGCATTTAATATGTCATTATAAAATGTGAGGTCTCATAACGCTTAATAGATATATAGCTTAATAGATCAAAAGATGATGCTCTCTAAAATGTTTCAGAAAAGCAGTACAATTTTGTCTCATTTCTTTGCAAAAATATAGGAAAGAGACAGAAGAATGATTGAGTATTTAGTAGTGAAGTTATTTTCAGTTATAACACAAGATAGTCAATATTTTTGGTTATAACCTAGTAGCACACAATTTCCATTTCGAAAAATCGCCGATTATGACATCAAACAACATTGTTCCGGAACATCTATCTAATAAAAAACATCAGATTTTAAGTCATATTTTGATATCCAGATTCATATTCAAATATCGCAAAAATTATATAGATCAATCTTTTTAAAAAACGTTGTGGAATGTCAATTGATTTCTCCTAGCATTTGCAAAATCTGAAGGATGTCCACAGCCATCATCCACACAATATTCATACAACCAATGCTGTGGAAAGGAGGTCACAAATAAGATTGCTTTATTCGCAAAAAAAAAAAAAAAAAAAAAAAAAAAAAAAAAAAAAAAAAAAAAAAAAAAAAAAAAAAANCATTTTACAAATATTCGGGTCTGTTTTTACCCCGGAAAAGAGAAGAACAAATAATAAAACCATTTCTAACTTGTTTTTAAAAGAAATAAAATATCTTTTTATTATCAAAACTTTTTAACGGTTATAGCATAAAATTACATGTGACATCGATTGTTTTCGTACTGTATTCTTTTATTCATCTATTCTTTTTGTACCAAGGCTCGAAAAACTCAGAAATTTTATCCGTCCTCCTTTGAAACTAACCCGTAGCTTCTAAAGAAATAAAACTATAATTTTCTCTTATTTATTACAAACATTTAGATAAATTGCACAATGAATTAGTAGTTACTAGGATTACAAATACTAGGATTACATTATACAGTAAAAAAAGAAATACTAGGTTACTAATAGTAACCTAGTATTTCTTTTATGAAATAATTTAAATGACAACGGTCAAGTTATCTGGAATGTCAATTTATCCGAAGGTACTGCGTTTTTTAAATGAATCAAATAAGATGTTTGCCAGTTCCACAATCAAGCCAATGATTTACAGAGGTTTCAGCACAGAAATTTAAAAGGGGTTTCTCATTTAGGTAGATGTTCACAATTGCGTTTAACGCTTCTTGTTTAAGACCAGTACATGATGGGGTTTTTTTGTAAGGTCCCTGCTGAAAAGCCCCTTTCAACTGCTGCAGTACTCCCAGACAGAGAAAACATCAATTCTAATAACAAAAATTGAAAACGTATCACGAACATTAACGGGGGAAATGGTCGTCTGCGCGGATGTTTGACCGCCGAAGACGGGAGGTTTTTCGAGCACTGTTTTGTACTGAAAATAATATAATTTTGCTAAGTTTAAATAAATATCAATGCAGATAGTTGTTAGAGATTATTTATATATAAGATTGCATATTATTATGGTGCCAAGAATGTCCACTTTACTAATGTTTTACTGTAACAAAATCATGTAAAAAGAAAGGTTAGTTAACAAAAACAGAAATTTTAATAAAAAATTTGAACAAACATACTATTAAATAATTACCAGCAGAAAATAATAACATATTAATAAAAATAATTACCTGCTTTAACAATTTCAATCAGTTTATCTTTGTCCATTTTATTTTCTTGACTTATTTGATTACACAAAAGCTTCTCCCAATTGTCTGAAGCAGATTTAATGCATGGTGTAACTTCTTCATAGTTCAGTTTCATTCTTTTATGACTAACTGCATCTTGGTTAACTATATAAATATATAGATAGATAAGAAAAATAGATAGATGCTAACACATACAAACTTCGACAATCAACTTCTTTTAAACAACAAAATCCGTACTATTTTTTAAAAGTATAACACATGTAAGAAACCATATTTCAAATAATGAATAAAATAAACATTTGTGTTTACTTCAAGAATGACATTGATTTTATGTTTTGATGTCTGGCAACAAATGAACAAAAGAAAATTCAAATCAGCTTTTACTGTCAATTTAAAAAAAAAAAATCGAGATAGAAGGAAGAATTTTAGCATTAAATATTGAAAGAAAATGTTAGAGAATGAGAAATGTATCAAATTGATCTTAGTTTAAATTAACTACTAAACTGTAAATTTTTTTTCTGAATTTCATAACTATGGGATTAAGAAATTTTATATAAAACATCAATATTTTTTATTAAGTCCTTGAAAGTAACTAGTACTTTAAATGAATTCATCACAAAAATAGCAAGTACATTTTGTAAAAACATCTACAGAGTAATGTCCATTATCCGGACACTTTTTAACAATCAAAATAAACAAACATCTCTTCATCTTCCCCTCTCTTTGAAAAAAAAAGGTCTTTTGACACGATTTCTCTTTTTCTAACTTCCAGTGATTTATGCATTGAACCCATAAATCACCAGAAAGGGGAAGAGAACATCTACCAAGACCGTCCAGTGACCGTTAGTGACACTCCTCCTCTGGAATGCAGGAAAAGAGGGAGATATGTTTTCGAATGAATGCAACTGAGTCCCCCCCCCTTCTTCCCTATGCAGCTGGCTAGAAGAAATACTATGGGAAAGGGTTAACTCAACAAATGTTAACATGGAGCGGGAGTCCAAATGGAAAATTTGAATAGGTCTAAAAGGATACATGTCCTTGAGAAACATTCGTTCTTCCCTGACCATGTATTATTTAGGAGGAGCGGGAAAAAGGGGGTAACATTCCTTCTTAAGCAGATTCTTTCAGTCACACAAGAAAAAATAAAGAAAACCCTTTCAGCATGACCCCCCGCACCTTTAAGCTTGATTGATAGCCAATGATCAGAGAGAAAATAAGAATTTGTTCCTTCCCCGTCCTCAACTTGAATGATCATATTTTCTATCACACATAAGAAGGAAATGAATTTTTCTCCTCCACCTACCCACCTTAATGAATGACGGAATTTTACGCTTCTTGCTTGAATTGTTCTTGTTCAAAATGGCGGAGAGAGCAAATAATATTTTCATAACTGTCAAATTTTTTTTCGTTTTCTATATTTTAAGCAATAATTTATTTTTTCTAATATTTTATTTTTGATTGATTAGATATCATTCTAATACTAAAACATTATTGCCCGAAAAATAATGCTTATTTAATTTTTGAAGATTCAGATCGTTTATTAGATCATTTTAAGCTTTGTTTACCTTGGGGGTCTATTACATGGAAAAATCTATAATCCGAACTTCCGGAAGTCCCACCAATACCGGATGCGTGACTTTCTACAGTATATACTTATTAAAACACCTACTTATGCTAAAATGATAATTCTTCATTTGTATGCGTATGAGAAATAATTTTAATTTCAAACTAAAAATAGTTTTTAAAAATTACTCTTTGAAACTCAAAATTAAAATCTCAATTAATAATTATATTTAAATTCTGTAATATTTATCATGTATATTTAAATAAAATAAGAATTTGTAGGAATTACTTCCATCCCTTCTATCAAGCCCCTATTGATAAAGCTACAAATAAATAACATGTAATTTTTAAATTTCTCTCTTTTTTCTTTTCTTTTCATAATTTCATGGTCCAAAAAATATTTTTTAAATAAATAACTTATGTGCATAATAAAGATAAATTTTGCACTTAAATATTTAAAAATAAAAGCGTTTTTTTTTTTAAATAAAAAACATTATACCTAAATTTTTAAGCAGCAATTGATGAAATATTTTAATTGGAAATTAACAGTATATTTAATGTAATTTTTATAAAACATAATATTAAAACAATAAGACTACAGATGATAAAAATTCAAAACAAATTTATACTTACACTCCAAAACTTGATAAGTTGTTGTTGGCTAGTAGAACGATTTTCTATATTTATTTAATAGCAATATCAATTAAATTTAGATTTAAAAAATTCACACCCAGAAAATATAATAAAAATATTTGAACGATACATTATGAACTACACTAAAAATCACTTTGAGTAAGTTTTTATTACATACTGATGCAAAAGATACTGAACAATTAGAGAAACCAACAGGTGCATTCAGCCCCTTCTCGTTCCTGCCTTGTAAGTTCCTAATGGAACTTAAAAAGTGCTTTTACCATTCAAACATTTTGCCTGAAAGAAAATATAGCTTTAGGCATTTTCGGGTAGCCAATTTCAAAACAACCTCAATTTTTTCAAGCCGACAGAAATCTGGAGGTCTTGCCTGTTGCTTCCCAAGATCAAGGCTGACAGCACCGTCCCTTTTTTTGCACCCTTTCATAGTGTTACAGTCTCTGTAATGATTTGATCCAACAGACTTGCCATTTTCCCATGAATATGCAGAATTCCTCTATTTTCGCCGCATTTATATTACAATAAATAATTAACAAATCCTAAGTTACTAACGTTTCATACGTTGAGCTAGGCAACCATTCACAAATTGTCCAAAATGATTGAAGCATCTTATCTATTTAATCCAATTTGTTGCTTTAGAATTTTTAGGACTCTTGAATAAAGTAATATTGAAAACTAGGATTGTAATGAATAGTGATTTGGCCAAATAACCACAGATTCAGTCGAAAATTTTAACAATTTGTCTAGGATTCAGTCTTAAGGGTTCTAGGGCATTATCTTAAATATGCTGATTAATTAGCACAGATGATATTTTAAGTTACAAAATCAGACACAAAAATGTACTTTCTCTAAATAAACATACCTTTTTCTCATTACACTTAGATTTCTGATCCCCAAACTATAGAGGGTAACAGCAATCTCGGAAACATGATCCCCAAAGTTTGGTTTGGAGAGCAGACCAAAGTTTAGATATCTTAATATTAATTTAATATTTTGTTCATTTTACCAGATATTAGGAACTTTTTAAGCAAATTCAAAAAAATTTTGCACACAAATATAAAATTGGTAAAATAAGTCCATGTAAACTTTAAGTAGATATTTGTAAATAAAGTAAATATTTGTTAAGATGAAGAAAACATTAGTTATTTTTTATTATTTTATGTAAAAATGGTCAAAGAAATTTTGAATTGAAGGTTTACAATTTTTTACATCATTTTAAAGAATGTTATTCTATATTACAAAATGCAAAATTTGAGAGAAATTGGTCAAATAGTTCCTGAGAATACGAATTTTAAAAATACAGCTTCTTTAAAATTTGACTTTTCAGGAGCTATTCGAACGGTTTCACTCATTTTGTATTTTTGCCATGTAAAATTACATTCTTTAAAATGATGTAAGAAATCGTTTACCATACGATTCAAACGTTTTTAGACTATTATTAAATAAAATAATACGAAAATAAATAAATATTTATTAAAAATTCTATTTTATTACTTGAAAATATATTTGAATAAACAAATTTTATAATTGTGCAAAACATTTTCAACTTGCATAAAAAGTTCTTGAGACATGGAGAAATACGCAAAAAATAAAATTAACATTAAGGGATCCAAACTTTGGATCACTATCTTGACCAAACTATGGGAACCAAATATCCCAGGATGCGGCTACCCCCTATATTTTGGGGATCAGAAATTTTGAATCTGTCGAAACAAAGGTATGTTTATTCTGACAAAGTACATTTTTGTGTCTGATTTCATAACTTAAAATATCGTCTGCACTAATAAATTAGCATATTTGAGGTCACCCCCACCCTCAAACCTTTAATATTGAATTCGGGAACCTGAAAATCCGATTATAAGATCATATGTTATTCAGGGTGGTCCTATTTTATTTTGCAAAATGTACTGTATTGCAATATGTTTAAACAAAATAAAGTTACAATATATGTCTTCACTCTGAAATTTCATAAAATATTCAAACTAAATATTAAGAAAATAATACCTTGAAGTTTCCTGTTTTCTTTTTCCATTCTTATCAACAGAATTTGTTCAAATATAGCTTTTTTCCATAATGCCCGCAATTCTTCTTTGGTTCTTTTAGTTCTATTTTCAGAACTTTGAGCTGTATTATCCAAGACATGACCGAGATCTATAAACAAATATTACTGTTAAAAATAAGTTGTGCAACTTTTAAGTATTATAATGTTTAGAAGAATCATATTTAACAGTTTTCTGTAAATTATTAGTACACAATTTGCATCAGAAATTTTTATTGTTCTTTTAAATTAAAATTCAGCTTATTCAACAATGTTTACATGTTCTATATTTCTGTTGCATATCTGCAATCAGAATATACATTGGTACATACGGGTAAACAGAGATGCACAATAAATTTCTTAATAAAGCAACTTTCACCAACATATACAATTATTTTAGATAATCATTATGAAGTAGTTGCAAACTACTGTGCCAGTGGAAGACATTTTTGCGCCCTGTTCGATACTGAAAACCGAACTCTTAAATTCAATTTGGAAAAAAAATCTAATTCTTTTTAAATAACTTGAATTGTTCCCTCGATGCAGTTATAATGCTGTAGAACTCTATATCTTTTTAAACTCTATATCTTTTTTCTTTGCTATCAATCTAAAATACTCATGTAGGAAAAATATGAACAAGAAAAATAACAATTAACATATTTAAGGCTAGAAAAAGAAAGCTGAATGAGAATATCATCAAGTATTCTAGAATAAATATTTATCACGGCTAATATTTTTACTGAACATAATCTTATATGACATACAAAACATTAAAATTTATTTTTTTGTGCTATAGCAGTGGCAAACAAACAGTTTTATAGACTCTTCAAAATCTATTTTTTTCGCGGTTTCATTTTCGATAAAAATTATTGTAGTATTCTGCATTTAATGTGTCATTTTGTTAAAAATTATTTTAAAAATGAAAAATTTTTGTTGTCGACTGCCATTAAATCATTTATATGTTTTTTAAATATTTTTATGCATTTATAAACTCATTCACTGATTTGGCTGTTTATAATAATTTTCTTCAATGACTTGCCTATAAATAAATTAAAAGCTATTCATTGTCGACTCGTTAATACACCAATTCACTGATTCATTGACTGCTTTCCCAACATTCCACATTCTTACTTTGTTCACACACTGTATCTAAAATCATTCACGATAACAGTTCTTATTACAAAGCGAACTTGTAGTAAAATGTTTATGAAGTATACTATCAGAAAAATAACCCTTTAAAATAAATTAAAAATGACCTTGTATAAAATGCATTAACAAAAGAATGAACAATCATCATATTAATAGGAAAATATGAAATAATTACAATGGGGAACTTTTCTTTGTTGCATAAAATTGTTAAGAGATCAAGGATATTTTCACATTGCTGAATTCAAATCTACAGTCTGTTTCTCTCTCCACGCAACAGTTTCTTTTAAATAACATTTTTAGTCTCTTTTTGTTGAAAGTTATACAAAACAGAAGGTTGCATAAATGTTACAACAAACTTATAGGAGAGTTAGTCAATAGAATTGAAATTGCAGTCAATTGCAGTCAATTTAGTCAATAGAATTGAAATTGCAGAGGAAACTATGCCCAAAAATGAGATCATACACCGCTAGGAGAATTTTGCTATTATTAACAGTTCCTTTGAGTAGTTCTAAACAGGTTGTAACAGAAAAGCACCCACAGCAGCGTCTGACAACGTTACTGAGCATGTGTTCCTATACAATTTTAATTCTGATGATTTCAGATTTGAAATCATCACACCCAAATTAGGAAAGAACAAGTATTTGCGTAAATTTAACAAAAAGTTTGCATAGGAGACGAAATAGGTGTATTTTCAACATGAAATATTAAGATTTATGTCAACAATTTCTAATTATATTAAGAAAACATTTGACACACATGATCACATGAAGTAAATATCCAAAACCCATATCTAACTCTTAATTGATCACACTCAGTTTCTTATTAGAAAATTAATTCCTATAATTCTTTCATATTTAAAAAAAAAAAACAATACCTTTAATAGTTTAAATATACAAAAAATATTTTTAAAATACTTTTATTTTAAAATGTATTAATGAAAGGGAAATTTTTTTTTTAAAAAAAATCTAGCTGAAAAGGCCATATATTGTAAAATGAATGAAACATTAAGACAGTGTTTAAAAAAAACCTTTTTTTCTTAAATTTTGTTTAAAAAGTAGATTAAAGTAATACAAAAATGTTTTGATTGTGAACCTAAATTCCAAAGAGATGTTTTATTTCTCTAAAAAAAATTAACTATTTTCATTAAATTAAAAAGACAAAAGACACTTAATTTAAAAAGAATGAATGAAGAGGTCATATATATGGTCATTCTCTAAATGCCTTCCTTCCTATTTTTGTCTAACATTCAGTCTTTGAAAATATAGTGAGGAATTTATAGCCCACCTAACCCCTTAGAAAATGTGAAACTTCTTCTATTCAATGTCTAACAAATAGCTTTTCTGCTACACACGTCTTTCCATATTTAGTAAATTTTTACTCATTAACTTTAATCATACAGAAAGTTAATCTAAGAATATATAATTTTAAAAAAATAAAAACTTATAAATGTATTTTACATGCAAACAATATAAGCAAAAAGGGAGGAAATTAATAATTTTGAGAACACTAAGTTTGAGTCTCGTTTGGCGACCCCTCAACCTGGCGCCCCATCTGCCTGCCCTGTTTTTTTTGCTTCAGTAAGAAAAAAAAGAACACTTTTAATGGTATGACTTTTTTTTATTAACAGGGACTGAAAAAAATAAATTTTAAAACAGATTAATAACAATTTAAGATTATTAACATGGGTACTTATTAGTTTCTTATTTTTCTAAATATTTTGGGGATCNATTTTCAGTTCTAAATTTTTTTTTTTTTTTTTTGCAATCTAGTAATTGAGTAATAAAACACTACTATGAATATTCATCAGTTAATAACATAAAAAAGAAAATACAAACCTTGATCATGCCCTGGACTCTGAACTCTATGAAATATAGCTTGCCTCCATGAGCCTATAGGAGTTGCATTCATTTGAAGAGGTGATTGGTTGTTGGATTTAAGAAACCTGAAAGCAATGTTTAATACATTTTTCAATCTAGAATATTTTAAAGCATTTACTAAAAATATATAAAATGAATACCTCATTCTGAGACATCACTAAGCCACAAAAAAATTTTAAAAAAATAAAGCAAGTTTAAGATAATGAGATAATATTTAAATTTTAAAAACTCATATCAAAAGGAAGCTAATTCTAAGTTAGATAACTTTACACTACACCTATTTTGCAACTTACTGAGAAGCTATCAATAAATGATATTCTGCGACCACTTTTTCATTTTTCATGGTACATAAAAAATGGTAGAGAATAAAAAGCAGAGAAACACAGTCTATCAATCTATCCATTATATGAGAGTCAATGAGAATCCCATCTATGTCAATGTCTTTCTTTTTTTTTTTAGTAGAGCTTCAAAAAAAGCATTTAAGAACTGAAGTTCAAGAATAAATTTAAAACTTTTCATGAACTAGGAAAAAAAATTTGATGATCAAACAAAAGTGTTTAATGAAATCAAGGGTGACTAAGAAATGTATTTGGCTGAAATAGGTTATTTCTATTATCAGATTATCAAATGCGTAGGGAATTCAGATCTTTTCTAGTTAGTAAGTAATACAAAAGTTTGACTGAAATAAATACAAATTATTTCTATTACTCCCTACTGGGAAATATTTACGACGGGATAATATTTCTGGCATATGAAGAGCTTAGTAGAAAAAGATAAGTGATATTTTTAAAGAGAAAATGAGATTTATTGACAAATATTTATTTAATGAGATTTATTGACAAATATTTATTTAATGAGATTTATTGACAAGTATTTATTTAACTATATAACATTAATTAATTTTGCCAAGTCATTGAATTTCGGAAATATCAGTGAATGAAAGTACTAAGTGGCTCTGAGTGTTTCCAGAGTGACAGAAGGCTCCAATTGCATTTGGCAACAAACAGTCAATGACAACTTTACAAAATCTCTCTTTTAGCAGCATATTTAAACACAAAGAGTGTGAGTGCTATGATATGAGCAGTTTTATAAATGAGCATTGGAAGCCTTTGAACAAGAAAGAAAAGGGAGAAAATTGAGAGATTAAAGCATATGATCAATATGAAATAATGATCAAAACATATTTACATATTTATTATTGGTGGATTAGCTTCATCAGCTTCAAATCTTAAATGTTTCTTTCCTGAATGATGCATTTCTCTTGAGGAAGTAAAAGTGGAACTACGAGGACGAGATGAAACTGGAGTTAATTGTTCAGAAGATATTTGATCACTGTCAAAACTACCTTCTCTGTAAGATTGAGTATCATAATCTTTGTATGATAAGTGACGGTGATCCTAAAAAGAAAGAAAAATTATAGATATATATAAATATACGGAAGAGTGGGGTAAGACTGAGTACCTCGATAATGTGGAAATTAGTTTCATTTTCTACGGACAAACTCTGAATTACACTTTACTAGTCAAAAAGAAGAATCTGCCATATTGGAGTGTTGTTGATTAATTCAAGGCATCTGTTTATATAAGTTTGTTTTACCATGTTAACTCTCTACAGTTCACTTGTTTTTAAACTATCCTTATATATAGGACATTAGAGTTGTAAAAATTGTTTTTAGTCCAGTTTATTATATATTTACTCAAAATTCATACCCTAACAAATAATAAGATTTCATAAGGTTTAGTACTGTTCTGTTTTTCTCCGGAAATCTCTGTTCTAGGGGTAAAACTGGGTACCCCCTTGATGCATATCTATGCTGAGGCCATGAAAGATGCAGTGCAGCAGAGGAAGAAAACTACATCCAAGGCTGAACAAAAGTTTTACCCGCCTGGGATAAAATTTACTGTGCCCCCTATTTCATAGCACAAAAACGCTTTTTTTCCTATTTTGCAAAAATCTTTGAAGACCTTTTTTACAAAATCCTAGTTTTATATAAGGAAATTCTATGCAATTTTCTTTAATAAAAATAATTGAAGTGTGATTTTATGTAAGGAATTCTTTAGTCAGGCTCTTAGCTGTCCCGGGAAAGTTAACCCTACGTCTGGACCTTCGATTTCCGGAAACTTCCGGATTACTGTTAGCAAAAATTCTGGAAATCCGGATTTTTTCCGGAGCACAATCAGCCCTGACTATGGAGGTGAATAGCTGAGCTGTGGTTTGCACTATAAAATATTTTAAAAAATAGTCACTTACTGCTGTGCTTTTTGTAAATGGAGAAAAATTCATAAATAGATGAGCTTTTACACTTAAAAAGCATGATTTTTTTTCTTTTATATTAGATTTTAGAAATTTTAATGCAATTTGTATGTTTATGATGCGCCTGTAGGGAAAGAATTTATTAAGTATTTAATCTGTAAAATAACTATTTATTTCTTATATTTTCTTTTAAACTGATAAATTATAATGCAGTAAACATTTGCATGCATTTTCATTATAATTAAATTTCATATGGAATTCAAGATTCATCAAAAATTTTGGAACTTTTTATTGCTTTGATAAAGCATGCTAATTACTTTCACACCAATATTTTGCAAACAAATTTCGTCAAAACATAAAATTTATAAGCAGAAAGATATTTTTCATTATTTAGAAAATTATTTTATTATTTCAGAGCAATTATTTGGATATACGGTGACACCTTGGTTACGCGGACACTCTTGGTACCGAAAAAAAATTTCGTTTACGGGAAGGGTACCCTAATAACAAAGTTTAACACCATAAATTGTTTTTAGAATATTTTCCATGATATGGAAATAATAAAATAATCTACAATAACTATCTGAAAAGATATTTATTTAAATTTTAAAAAAATATTTTTTTCTACACAAAAGAATACATAAAAGTTTGATATAAATACATAATTCTAGATGTAGCTACAGATAAATGAATACAATTTCCCTATACACAGATATTCAAGTAAGTCATATGACACCGAATAGGAGCTTTTAGTTCTCAATCGGTTTTAGTTATTAGGTTTACACCCCCCTAACACCTATCAATCACTTGATGAGAAAGCTGGTTTATACCTCCTTGAAAGTAAACCTCCCAAGATTTACAGAAAAAAAAACTAAAGCAACGCTTACCTGTAAGGCATGAGAACCTATGGAGTTGATATATTCATAATTAATCATGTATCAAGTGTCTCAATAAATATTTCATTCATATGAACACTTCAAATATTATATTTCTGTTCTCTTTTTTTTACACCAGCTGTGTTAAATACAGTCTTCTAATTGATAAGAAAAGAAAATAAATGTCCAGTGGAAAGGATGTATTGAAAGCATTTAAGACGTAATTTCAGCTTGTGGGGTCTCATAACTTGTGTTATTTGGATAAAAAGATCAAAAGATACCACAGTCCAAATGAGCAGTATTATTTTCTCTTCCTCTTTTTAGCAAAGATAAGGCAAAGTGAGAGGAGAAAGATTGATTCTTTAGTAGTGAAATAGCATAACAATATTTTTAGTTATGGATTAGGCAAAAAATTTACATTCTTTAAAAATGGTGAAAAGATGCAGAATTTTTTTTTTTAATTTAGAAAAAATAGTGTCGCATTTGAAGAGATAAAAAATAACGTTTCAAGGCAAAAAATGAACGCGTCCCGTAGAGAATTTGCAGAGAATGTATATAATGGGTTATTCATAAAAGATTCACAGGGAATTAAAAATATGTCCGTATTGAGAGGCGTCCGTTTTGAAGGAGCATCCATAACAGGAAGTATCACTGTAAATATTTAATACTGCATTTTTATTATTTAGAAAAATATTAACTAACTAAAACTAAATTTATATGACTGCATAATTATAAATAAACAAATCCCTCCTAATTTACTAACTAATTTCAATCCTTTAAAATAATTTTTTTTTACTAATTTTGAAGTGAATTTAACTGCAAACTGTAATTTGTACTTATGTATAAGTTTACGTTTCTCAAATTAAAAAATTAAATCTTTAATACATTTTGTCAATACATAAAATTTATAAACAGAAGAAAAAAAATTTATTATTTAGAAAATTACTTTATTATTTAGGAAAAGTAATTTAGATATACACTAGCATGCAAAAGTCTTTGCCCAAAATCATTATTTATATTAATATTATAAAATTCAAATAAATCTTACTTTTCATTTAATTTTGGAATTTCATTGATGAACATGAGTAATTCCAAATTTTAATTAGCTAGATTGCTTAGCTTATATTATTTGACAACGTAAACATACATCTAAACAAGTGTGAACTAATGGGTTATTTGTATAATTATTGTCTGTTTCGAATTCTATTTATTTATATTTGAGGCTAAATTTTGATAAGTTTATTAAAGAATACATTATAATACTGTTTTTTTTTTTATATTTACATAAAACTAATTTATATTTTGTATTTATAATATAGATGATTAAATATTTCTTTTATTAATTCATTTAAGGTAACTAAATATTTATAAAATGAAAAGACAAGAATGTAATACTGAATTGTTTGGAAAAATACAAATTTTATCAGAATACTATATTCATGCGAATATTGTTAAAAGATTGAAGATTTCAAGAAAAAGTGTGACGTACACATTGACTTCCTTATTAGAAACAGAAACAAATGATGTGACGTGTCAAGGGGGTCACATTAGTGAAAGCAAAATATAAGTTAATTTACATTATTTATGCTAAATAATGTTAAGCTGAAGTTTATATCATGTTAAGGCGTTATAAACAAAGTTTATATAATTTTTTGCTATATTTGGTTTATTAATGATACCTTTTACCTTTGGGCAAATTTACCTTTGGGCAAAAACTTTTGCACGCTAGTGCAGAAATTTATTTAAGAAATTAATTATTTAGGAGTATTATTTTATATTGATTATTTATTATATATTATTTTATTTTGATTATTTAGGAAAAATATTAACTCACTAAAACTATAACATCAGGACTATGTATGTTTAAATTTACAATTCTGTGGCCTCAGTTTGACAGAGGGGTGCGGCAATTTATAATTACTATATATATTTTATTTTAATTCTTGAAAATAAAAATATTCATAAAATTTTTTATTATTTCAATATTTATACAATTAATCTTTTTATACCTATGTTAGGCAAAACCATATTTAACTAATATTAAACAAAGTCTTGTTTTTTTTATGATTAAGCAATGAAAAGTGAATAATTCAAAGTAGTGTACATATAGTATTATGTATTTCGAATCAAAAGCTTATCTTTTACAATCGATAATAAAATTGGGAAAACATTCAAAATAACAAAATGTCTAAGTTCATGTGGTTTTTCAAACCCTGATATTTTTAATATGATGCTAGAGTGATACTCTAAGTTTTAATTTGAGTAATCCAAGACAATCCAATCTTTTTGTGTTGTTTTTTTTATCTTTTTATCAGCTGTTATTTTTCATTTTTGCAACCTTTTTATATGGTTTTCCAAATTTTGATATTTTAATATGATGTTATTAGGGCATGTGAATTTCAAACTCAAATATTCAATTTTTGATGCGCTATGCAACTTTTTATGTCAATTTTCATTCAATTTTCAGCAAATATTTTCTTATTTCTTTTGCAGTTTCCAGATAATTTTCCAATTTTGATTTTTAATACAATGTTATTATGACACACAAAATCTGAATTTGAGTACTCACTTTTTCACACTTTTTATTTGCAACTATTCCATTGCAACTATTCCATTGTTAACCCACATCATTTTCGACCAATTTCTCAGTCATTTTTTGGTTAAACGGTCCTTTTCACATGGTTTTTCAAATAATCATATTTTTAATACAATTTTATTTTGACATTTAAATTTAAAATTTGAGTAATTACTTTTTGACATGGTCAATTTGCCACTATGCTGACATTTTTCAATAGTTTTTTCAGCAGTTATTACAGTTAGTTATTTTTCTTATGGTCAATTTTACATCATTTTTAAAATCTTTTTCTTTTTTATATTTGAGTAATACATTTTAGATTCGCTTATTTTACGACCATTTCCTGTAAATTCACGTTGATTTTTAGATACCTTTTTCACCAGTTATTCCTTTTTTTTTACAATTTTTAAAAATATTGATGATTTTAGAACATAATATTATTATTACATACAAAAATTTAAAAACTCGAGAATTTTGCCCATTTTAAAAAAGGCATTGTAGCAATAATTTTATATTACAAACATTAAGAGCCATGAATATTATGGGTCCATAAAGAGCCATACATTTCTATGTGAAATGCAATGTCTTTCTGTGAAGATATAGTGCCCAGTTCAGTTTCTTGCAATCTGACAAATCTAAAGTTTAAAAAGAACTCTGAAAGGTAATTCACGATTTGCAGCCCTGAGGTTGTGTTATGAGTTATATACTAGTTATAATAATTATTTTAGTCAAAACTGCATAATAAAACAAAAATTAAATTCCAGCAAATCTTGTTGAAACAAAAATTTATAAATCTTGTTTTTTTTTGTCAAATAGGTCAAATTAAGTGCATAAGTGTTATTTGAACTTTTATACAAGTATAAATATTTAATATATTAACTATTCGGTAATCACTTTTTTGCATTATGTTCCACAGTAATGATTACGTTGCTTCTTCTACATCACAAAATTTATTGCAATAATTCTTCTAAAAATGCTAGCATGAAAGTAGTATTTTTTAACACTTTGCAAGTAGTACAGTGTAAAGTCGCGTATCCGGAATCGGTGGGACTTCCAGAGGTTCGTATAATAGATTTTTCCGTATAATAGACCCCCAAGGTAAACAAAGCTTAAAATGATTTAATAAACGATCTGAATCTAAGAAGCAAAAAATAAATAAACGTTATTTTTAAGGGGAACAATGTTTTAGCATTAGAATATCTAAATCAAATATAAAATATTAGAAAAAAAATATTATTGCTGAAAATATGGAAAACGAAAAAAATTTAACAGTTATGAAAATATTAATCCGCCATTTTGAACTAGAACGATTCAAGCAGGAAGGGGAAATTCATGTCATTCTGGAACAAAGCTTAAAATGATCTAAATCTAAGAAGCAAAAAATAAATAAACATTATTTTTAAGGGGAATAATGTTTTAGTATTAGAATATCTAATCAATAAAATATGAAATATTAGAAAAAAAATATTATTGCTTAAAATATAGAAAACGAAAAAAAATTGACATATGAAAATAATAATCCGCCATTTTTAACTAGAATGATTCAAGCAAGAAAGGGAAATTCCCGTCATTCATTAAGGTGGGTAGATGGAGGAGAAAAATTCATTTCCTCCTTATTTGTGAAAGAAAATAAGTGTAAAGAGGAGATCATTTAAGTTGAGGGTGGGGAAGTAACAAATTATTGTTTTCTCTCCAATTATTGGCTATCAATCAAGCATAAAGGCGAGGCACTCTGATCGGGTTCTCTTTATTTTTTCCTCTATGACTGAAAGAATCTGCTAAAGAAAGAATGTTACCCCCTTTCCACCCCTCCCACTTCCTAAATATTACATGGTATGGGGAAGAACGAATGTTTTGTTTCTCAAGGACGTGTATCCTTTTAGACCTATTCAAATTTTCCATTTTGACTCCCCCTCCACCTTAACGCTTGCCCTGTTTACCCTTTTCAACAGTATTTCTTCTTTCAATAAAAAGGTTCCAGGAAATGCCGCTTTTACTAGCCACCTGCATGGGAAAGGAAGGGTGGGGAGGGGACTCAGAGGTTCAGTGCAAGCTAGAAAAAGAGAAAATGCATCAAAAGACCTTTTTTTTTAGGAAAGGGGAAGATGGAGAGATGTTTGCTTATTTTGATTGTTAAAAAGTGTCCGGGAAATCGACCCTTCCGGGAAAGGTCGATACCATACCATGGCACCGTCTATATAAATAATAGCTATATAAATAATAGCAATCGTTAATACAAAATTAAAAACTTAAAATAAATAAAATCATATTGCATACTCACCACAGCTGGTTGATTGTTAAAAAGAGAAAAGTCTTTGCTCTCATCTCTGCTAGTAAGCTACATAAAAATAGATCAGAAAGTACTTTAAAAAACGTAAACATAACTTTCTTTTTTTTATTATTTTGATGCATCAAAATTTCTCACATATAATCTACAGGATTTGTGATTGTTTTTTGTGGATTAAAAAATAAAAAAACAGAAATTGCAATGTTACAATGTGTTTTTGTAAGGATCTTTAGATGGGTTAACATAAAATTAAACATAATAATCAAAGACAAACTTTTTTAAATTTATATAGCCGAACCTTGTTAAAGTCTATTCCTTTTAACATGAATTAATTTTTGATTTTCCATCAAATTGTGTATGGATATAATGTTTAAAAAGCTTTTAACATGAACAGGTTTAACGTAAAATGTTGCTTAAGGTAAACTCTTAATTTATTAATCTTAGAAAAAAATTTACTTTCAACATTAATGAAAAATTTATTTCCCCTATGGAAGGTAAGAAACCTGATCATTTACAGTTTTATATCTATAAGAGTAGGTATTTCTGAAAGATTTATTATAGTGTTCATAATTTTAACTTAAAAGTTATCAAAGGAAGGAGTTGTTAAATTGAACCTGTAGAGGGAATTAGAAATTTGAGGATTACGCAACATTCAGAAGATAAGAAACAATGGTATATTTTCTCTGATGATTCTTGAAAACACGAGTAAGAACAGGTGGAAAAAAATATCGTTCGAATTCAATTCTCTGACAGATTTTTTTAATAAATATTCATTTTTATAAAAATGTCAAATCCTAATTGAAATAGTTGTCAGAATGAGATGAAATTTTATCTACTCAAGTACAACGGGTGATACAAACAAGATCACCAAGCAAAATGATCATTTATTGCCAAAAAGAAAATGCAAATAAGTGGAGGTTTTAGTACCCTCCCTGGGGCGGACTAAGGCATAGGCAACCTAGGCACGTGTCTAGGACCCGTAAATTTTGGGGCTCGAAAATTAGGTTTTTAATTTTTATAATTAATTTTCATTTTCATTTAACAGAAAAACGTTCATAATTATTGCTAAAACGTATCCACAATTATGCTGAATCGTTGATTGATAAAGTCGACAACTTGGACAAGCGTTGCCGAGCTTATGCATTCACGCCCATGAGTGTCGATGTGTGTAAATACGATAGATTCGCCTATTGAGCCTTTACTATGCACATGTTTAAAAAGTCAAACGTAGCTATTTAAAATCAGTGTCTCCTGAAAGTATTGCATCTTATGTGAGCTGTGATTGAAAATTGTACAATTATGACTTAAGTACCTAGACTGGATAGCAAATAGATTGTTTCGGATTCATAGTTAATACTTTCTGGAATTCGTAAAATGGAAATGTAATATTTTATAAAAGTATTACATTATTTAATTAAAATAATATATAATATAAAATACCACAAATTGTGATTTGGTTTGTGACAGTGATATTGAGTAAAAATAAATTTAATTGAAGATCATTTTCCTCTTTCCTTTCAGTACATGGTCTTTCAAATAAGTTCCTATAAACATTTAAGTGAAAAAACAAAATGAAAAGCAGATCGAGATAAAGTGGCAAAACAAATTAAAAGATCGTTGGACAAAGTTTTAACTGTAGATGGAGAACAATTACAACAATCATCATCATTTTCACAAATTTCACCTGCTCAATCTCCAGAAACATCATTTATGCCCGAAACTATTCTGCAAAAAGACCAGCAGGAAAAACCAAGCAATTCCATGCGAGAGTATTATATAAAAAATCCACCAAAATCAATAAATGGATCTTTGGAATCATCTTCTATTCGATGCAATGAAGAGTCAAAACAAATCACAAGAAAAATAACTATTGCCTCTTTCTTCAAAACAATTAATAGCGGGAGAAAAGTTAAAAGAGATTGGTTGGCTTATACTAAAGCCAACAATTTATTGTACTGTTACGTCTGTAAATTATTTTTCAAGCAAACAACGCTAATGACAAAAGGGACAAATAATTGGAAAAAAGTACATAAAAAATTGTCAGAGCATGAAAACTCCTGTGACCACATTAACTCCATTTTAATTATTATAACAAAATCTAAAATTACCATGCATTGAAACTGAACTGGAAAAACAAATTATAAGTGAAAAAAAATATTGGAGGGAAGTACTTAAGCGTGTGGTAATGAGAATCAAATTTATTTATTCATACTCTTTAAGAGTTTCATGGTAAAAATGAAGTTCGATCCATTTATGCGGGAACACATGAAAAATATGCAAACTGCGGCACCGGTACTATAAACTATTTGTCGTCTACAATATGTGATTAATTTATTTCTATTATATCGAAAGATTTACAACTCACAATAGTGAACGAAATAAGGGAAGCCAAATTTTACTCTCTAATTATTGATTCAAGACCTGATATATCTTACGTAGATCAGCTGACCGTCATTATTCGCTATGTTCTTCCAAGTGGTTGGTATAAAAGAGAGATTTTTGGGATTTCTACCTATATTTCTCATACTAGTGAAAACTTGGAGAAAGTTATTTTAGAATTTTTAAATAATATAGATTAAGACATCACTAACTGTCGGGGACGATAATGGGTTTAATATGTCAGGTAAATATAAGGGACTCTAATCCAGAATAAAACAACATATTTTTTCTGCCCATTTTATATCATGCGTAAATCACTCATTAAACTTAATTGGAAACGCTGCCGCCGAAAGTTGCAAGGAAATGACCACTTTTTTCAATATCGTTCAGGGGGCCGGGATAGCCTGGTCGGTAGGGCGCTGGGCCCATATCCAAGAGGTCGTGGGTTCGATCCTCACCGGCCGAAGACTCCCCGTGTAGTAAATGGTGACTGATGCACGTTAAATCTGTCGAGTCTCAAAGTCCTCCATGTTCCCACAACAAATCAATACCTCTGGGGGTACTGATCCAGGAGTTTCCTTGTCTTCTGGATTGGTTCAAAATTACAAGGCTACGGAGTTGAACGTAAGTAGTCGTAAACCCAAAAAATTGGGTCGGCTGTTCAACGACGGTTATAAAATAAAATAAAATATCGTTCAGGAATCGTACATATTTTTTTCAAGTTCTACACATAGGTGGAATGCATTACAAAAATTTTGTAAAAGCAAACACTTGAGTATTAAACCTATTTGTGACACCAGGTGGTCTGCTCATTCCGATGCTGTGAAATCCTTAAAGGAAAATTATGAAGAAATTAAACAATAACAGCATTTTTCCTCAAACAAAGATGAAAAAACAATTAACAAGGTCCGAAGCTGCCGATTTAAATAAAAAAACTTGATACATTTGAGTATGTACTGTTACTTACTATATGGGAAAAGATTTTAGAGAGAATTGATGCTTCAAACAAGACTCTTCAATAAAAAGATGAATCCCTAAATACAGCAGTTTTAATATATGATTCATTGATGGATTTCATACAAACAGTTAGAGATGATTTTGACAATTTAGAAAAAGAAGCAGAAAAAGTTAAAGATATTGCATATACTAATGATAAAAAACGGCAGAAAATACGAAAACTATTTCCTGATGTTTAGAACATGAAATAAGATTCAGTGGCAAAGAAGATTTTAAAGTTAATATTTTTTGTTGCTGTATGCAATTCTTTAATTAGCAACATTAAAAAAAGATCTGAGGGATATAAAACTATTAACAATAAATTCAAAACAATTTTTCATGATAGTGATGTTAGTGACTCTTCAATAGAGGAATTAAAATGTTACGAACAAGATTTAAATCTAGCAGAACTGAAAAATGAACTATTAAAATTTGAGACTTTTATAAGTAAAGAAAATATTATTTCACTTGTATCCATGTGGTCATTTATTCAGGAAAATAATATTATTTCAACATTCCCTAATTTAAACATAATTCTGAGAATTTATTTAACCCTTCCAATAAGCAATGCAAGTGGTGAAAGATCATTCTCAGTAATGGCCAGAATAAAAAAAAATTTAAGATACACATTAGGCCAACAAAAACAAAATAGTTTATCATTACTTTATATAGAATAAGAGTTATTAAATAATTGACGAGTTTGCAGAATTAAAAGTGAGAAAAAAGGCAATATAACTAATCAATCTGGGTATATTTGTTTCAGTATTATTGTTTGTTTTAATAAATTATACTAATGTTTGTTTGTTTTAATAAATTATGTTTATTTAATTTTTGTACATGTATATCATTTTTTTCCTTTTTCTTTTCTTGGAATCCGATAATTAAATAGAACTACATACTATATGCTTTAAAACCAAACACAAAGTATGCGTCATGACTGAAAAATAGGCCCAGAATTACAAGGTTGCCTAGGGCCCTCGTTAGTCTTAGTCCGCTACTGTACCCTCTTAGGCCATCTCGAAGCACGAATGCATTACAGTTTAGCAAGTCTCTTATGATCTACTGAAGGAATCTTGTTCCACAGCTAAATAGACTCAACTCGGAGGCTGCCCAAGTTTCTGTCCCAACTAGTCGCAGATGTGCTCGTTCAGTAGAGATTGAGCAGGTAAGGAAAGGGTGATAGTGTGATCGAGGAATTCCTGAAACACCCTTGCCATATGTAGCCAAGCATTGTCGTGTTGAAAATTGGCAACAGGGAGCCCTGCCATTAAGTGATAACACATGTGGCTAAAGGATGTCACAAATACACCAGTGGGCTGTCATGGCACCATGGATTAAAGTGATATTGTGTTATACGCAATGGCACTTCATACCATCACACCAGCTGTACACACTTCGGAAGCAGTCCAATCCCATCGAGAGAAACACCACTCTAAATGAAGGCAACGTTGTATGGGTGTCAATCCTGCCTACCCAATACAGCAGCACACCACTTAACATGTGTTGCCACTCATGGTAGGGCTCCCAGGAGCCGTTTTTCAACAAACAATGCTCTGCCACACACCAAGTGTGTCCCAGGAATGTTGCTGTCACATTACCACCCTCTCATGGCCTGCTCGATCCCCAGATTTGTAGCTGAATTTCATAAGGGACTCCTATTGCATCCTACAATAGCACCAGAGGTGGTCCAAGAGGGTACAAAACAAGTTTGGCAAGTTTCTGCCGAGGTGGTTAAAACCACTTGTAGAAACCGGTTAAAACTGGCATGGCAGAAACCCTTTTCTGCCGCATTTGTGGCAGAAATTCAGAAAATGACATAAAAGTAAGTACTGAGATTGACATACAATGGATAATTCATAGAAAAAACAATTAAATGTTAAAGAAAGTGCAATTTATTTACAAAATTATCACCATTCAAAATAAAATATTACACTGTTTGCACTCTGCAGCAATCTGTAACAAAAGACAAGTTCTGATGCAGTTTCTAAATCAAAACAGTTTCTCAATTTGCTATGCACGAACGAGAAATTTGAGAAGAGTCCAGCAGACAAGCAGGCATTACCATCTAGGAACAAGCAAGATTTGAGAAACTTTCGTCTATTGCATATTCTTTAAAACTGGACCACCGTGTAGAAGCTGGGGTAGTTGTCAAAACTTGACTCGAAAAATAAGTTTCAGGAAATGGGTCCGATTTGTTTTGCAAAGCTAGGATATAAGGTACAAAATCTGGGTTAATATTGGCGAGTTAACTTCTGGCACTTTCTTCTTGAGCACATGATAATTTCAATCCCAAATACTTTGGATGCAACATATAAGCTGGCAAATGATAATCAGTAACTGCCAAATATCACAAGCATCTTTTGCGAATTAAAAAGTTTGTTACAGTTACATGGAGTTACATTTTTCAGTTTACTTAAACAAATGTCATTAAGCAATTACTAGAACTAATATAGACGTTTTTAAGTTTCTGCCAGTTTTTGCTGGTTCTTACCGGTTATAACCAGTTTCTGCCACTGGCATGGCAAAAGCCAGTTTCTGCCAGCAAAAAGCCAACCCTGGTACAAAAACCTCCGTTCATTTGCATTTTTTTTAAACAAATGATAATTTTGCTTTGTTTTTTTTATAATTTACTTACACTTATGTTGCACATGTGTATGTAGAATTTCGTTTCATTCTGACATAGTACACTAATTTTCATGACTATGAGTACATATAACGTTTTCTATGAAGAAAATTTTATACATATAAAAACAATGACTGTTATTTTTTTTACCTTTAAAAATGTTTCAAGAGAACTGGATAAGGATTTTCTTGCCTTTTCCCGCAAAGAATCTAATTTTGTGCTTTTTTCTTTAAGTAGAGTTGGCTGGAAAAAAAATTACAATATACTATCATAGAGCAACAAATATTACTGAAAATAAAAACATAGTAAAATATATTTCTGTGATCAAACTTTAACATAAATACATTAACAAAATGAACTAGAAGAGAATGTTGTTGTTCATTTACGTCGCACTAGAGCTGCACAATGGGCTATTGGTGACGAATTAGAAGAGAAACTTGAATACCTGACAGCACAGCAAAAGTCAATTTCATCATATACAAAAATGAAACCATGTAAGTAACAACAAAAAAATATAAAGAAGTTTAAACAATGATCACTTATTGATAATTGATCACTTATAAAAGCATTGGTATTTAAATTTGAATTATTTATAAGGCAAAATTATGTGTATTTTACACAAAAGTATAATAAAGACTAAATGAATACAATGGCATTGGTAAAATAATTAAAACAATAAAATGAGCAGGATAATTAAAAGCAAAAGGAACTTAAAGAGAGTATATATAAAAGTGAATGGGCAATTACAGTCAATTTTTTTTAAAAGTTTAATGCAATCAGAATCCTTCAAAACTCCCAGAAAACATTTTATTACTTTCCTAAGAAGGCTATTTATTTAGTAATTTTTAATCAAAAAACGCTTACTTTCGTTTTCACCTGAAACAGGGAGTCACAAGATTATTCACGAACTGGCGTCACACGTGTCCATCTGCCGTTCACTTATAACCGCTGTGCTATGAAAGCCAATATGTTCTTGCTTTCATTTGAATTTTCGTAATTAAATACAACTACTTCAGATGGACAATAACTATCTGTATAAAAAATTGCACCCTAGTGTCGCTTAATAAAAATGTGGGTTTAATATAACGTATTTTTATAATGTTAAATTTCAATGGTACCCACTGAAACATTGTTAATAGTTGACGAAATTTTCTAGCTTTAAATATTTAAGATTTTTTATTTCAATAAAAAAAAGTGTATGGTTTTGCTTATTAAATGATGCATTATAAATACAAAATAATTTTGTTTTTTCATTTTTTTAATCATATTAATCTAAATTTTAATGTATAATTCAAATTCATTTCAAAGATTTATTTTCATCTTAAGTGAAAGAAATGTTGGATAAACTTTTTATGTAGAATAAATAGTTTTAGATTTTAAAATGTAGGAAAGTTCAAGTTATTGATAATTTTTATTTATTTATTCCAGCGTGAATTCAAAGCATGTAATTGTCTTCAGTATAGCAGTAGCCTTTTAAAAAACTTGTGATCTCAGCAAAACTTTGAATTCATTCTTTCAACAAAAAAATTTAAATTAAATTAAATTAATTCAATATAGATGTAAAATATTAACAAAATTATGCATGATTTTTACTATTAAATAAAAAGTGTAAAATTTAGGCAAAATTAAAAAATGCCTGAAATTTTATACTTTACAAAATGATAAATTTATTGCATGGGATCATTGTTTTAGTTTTTAGTTAAATTTCAAATTTGTCTTTATTGTCTTTTTAAAAATAATTTGGTGGAAGCGGGAAAAGTGATATTGTGTTCTTAGCTTTTGTTACTTTTTATTCCATATTTCTATCAATTAATTTTTATTATTTATTTATTGCTTTTAGAGTTGTTTAAAGTAAAAATAATTATCCTTGATTAGTTGCAAACAACAAAATTTTATAGCTCCTGGTAGTTAAGGGGAGAGGGAATGTATTTTAAACAGATTGTAACAAAAATTCTTAAAAACCGTAACTTTTGTTACTTAACCGCAAGACCGCAATCTTGACTATGAAATCGTAATAATTGGTACCTCTGCTTGCTTCTCAAACAATTTAGAATTCAGTAAATGTTTGAAAAAATATTTTTAATAGTGAAAATCAAATACTTACTTCATTTTTTAAAGTATTTGATACATGAGAGTGAACTAATTGTTTCTGTTCAGCCATTTCTCTCAAAAGCATAACTAGAACTTCATTTTGTTCTTGAACATCTTCATAAGTCATTTTCTATATAATTACAAATCAGTACTATCTAATTAATTCTACAAAACAAACAAATGATAATTACAAACAAATGATTAATTTCATTAGTAAATTTTATATCTTATTATCAATACCGATAAATAACACATCAAGAGGAAAAAAGTAAAATCAACTTGGATATTATATAATACAGGGCAAGAAATTTCAGTTCTAAAGATACCAACCACATTAAAATTTTTGATTTCTAATACTTTGCATTCAAGAAGAATATTAACAATTTTTGAAATATTAATAGACGTATGATGAAAAACTTTTTTTGGTGACCAAAACCAAATATAGAACTTACAAAGAATATAGAACTTAAAAATTGATATACTTTTATTGCAAGAATAGCAATATGTTTAAATTAAAATAAGGCCATCACAAGGTTTTGATGTTTTCAGAAACAATGGTTTCATTAACGAAAAGTGAGTTATATAGCACTTTTTGTTTTAAATTGATGAAAAATGCAGTCACTTGATTTTAAAACACTTCCATGTGCCACAGAATTAAGGCAAGATAATCTAAGCATATATAGTTTAATTTAAAATTCATCATTCAAATATTATGTTTTAACATTAAAATATGATATATATATATATATATTCAGTTACATTTTGTTAAGTATGCTGTATATTATATATGTTGTTATGCATTACATGTTACATAATGTAACTATGCAGTTAATCTACTCTTAGGAACTTACTCTTTTAGCCATCCTTAGTCTTTCTATGCATGTTTAGAAAAATATAAGAATACAATAAGTGTTCATTTTTAGTTTTAAGAATTTTATATTATCATGCCATTTTAATGAGAGTTTCCTTAAAGTTTTCAAACAGCCACCAATTTATACTTTGCACTTAAATAATTTTGTAAAAATTTTAAAAATGGTATGCTCGTGTAAAAAGTTAATAACCAATATCAATTTTGTATAATAATTTGCTTATGCTCTTGTTTTCAGTTCAAACAATAGACTCACTTTATACTTTTTTTAAATAATGCCTTAGGTTAAAATTCACTAATTTTTTGCAAATTTTTATATATAAAGCACTAATTTATAACACCCTTGTAAAAATAATTCATAACCAAAATTATTTCTAAACTTGCCTGAAACTTCATTATTATTTCTTCCTTTACATTATCAGGTAAAGTTCCTAGTTTTTCTAAAATAATAAGATGAGCTTCTTCTGATGGCATCCCTAAATAAACAAAGTATAGAAAAGAACATTTGTTTAGATGCATATCAAAAGCATTTTTATTTAATGTTCTATAATATCAAAATACTTTAACATATCAAAAGATTACGATTGGAATTATTTCTGCGTATAGAGAGATCTCCCCAAAATCTCCCTAAATATCTATCCTAAATTCAAAACCCAAAGAACCCTTTTCAGAGAGGAAGTACCCTGTCCTTTATAATTCCTAGGGAGAACTCTGTATCAGTAAATAAATTAACAAGGGCTAATAATATTTACCAGGTTTTTCCTATGGTTTCTATCAGTAAAAACCTAGTTTTTACCATGTGTGTCCTGTTAAAAATGGAACTCTGAAAACCAAATCTGCTCTGAATACAACCGTGTAATGAAATTAAGTATAGTCAAGCACATAAATAACGAGCCTTGACTTAAACATAACCTGGATTTAAAGAAATCTGAAATATTTGGTTGATACAATGTTAAGTGTATAGGAACATAGCAAGCTTTTAAAAAGCAAAACTCAAGTTTAAGTGAGCAATATTTTTGTGATTCATAAAATTTGTAAATAATTCCATCTCTCCAGCCTTCTTGGAAAAACTCTTTATGTTTTTCAGGTTGACAAATTCTTTTTTGATGTTGACAATGTTTTCTGGGCGATGAGTCTTATTCAAAAATTAATAATACAACAAAGAGACAATGCAAATTAACAAACTTCTAAACTGAACAGAAATAAAAATATAAATAAAGTGCTATATTTATAATTCAGTAGGTATAAATGAACTATGTATTATGATTTTTCACAAGCCTGTTTTTGACAAGCACTTGGTTGCAACATGCAAATATTGCAGTCTTTCCATGTTATAATTGAGTTCAACTGTAGTTTAAGTTGATTTATTAATAAGCATGCACTGAGCAGATTGAGACATTCATATTGCTGTTTCAAGGTAGATAAATATTGGCTCAATATTTTGAAGTAAATTTTTCAGGAACAACAAATATTGGTAGATGAGACATGAGTTTCAAGCAATATTTAGTTATATATATATATTATATATAGAGAGATATATATAGATAGATAGATATTGCCTCCTTTTATTGATCAACTTACTATCAATCTATTTTTACAAAAGTTATCTTCACAGTTATAAAAGGATACACATAATTTTTTTTAAAAGGAAAAATCTAACATTTTTATGTCCTGGATCTTTAAAAATTCTGAGAATTGCAATGTTTGCAGAAACACTAACATGGGACGCATTGTGTTCCTCTTTCCTTTCATGTGAGTGGTTTTTTAATTTGATTTAAGTTATTGACATCAAGCATTAGAGTCATGTTTTCCCCACATACTAATATTATGCTTATGATTATACCTAGCTTATAATTAGAGCATTGCATTTTTTTCTTAATTTTTTGCCCTTGTCTGCCATGCGATACAGTTGATCAAACTTATGACATTATGTTATATGTATTGGAACAGCTTAACTGAGAATAGCAAATATGATTGAATGTTAAAATAAGGAACTGTTATAAAGTCTGGTGAAGCAATTGATTTTTAAACAGCATTATTTTTATGAATGATATGAGTGTTCCAGTGATGTCTATCATTTGTTTATTCTCTACCTATAAATTTGTTGAAATGATTAATACTTACATTCTGTAATAAATTACAAATGAAAGAAATGACTTTAAATTTTAAAATTTTGAGAAGCATAACTACAAAGATGAAATCAACAATACCTTCCAAATCACAACAAAGCTTGTGAAACCAATGCATAGGACATGCATCACAGGTAAAAACTTTAAGTACTTGAGGTGTTCTAGTTGGCTGCTTTTGATAACATGAATGAGCTTGACTGAAAGCTTGTTTCAAAGTCTGCATCATCTCATCAACCTAATAAATATAAACATGATTGTGACATACAAATCTTTTTTGAAGTATCAAAATTAATGTTATACTATTTCCTGTGTAACTAATATTATTTTGTATTTAGGTTTAATTGAAAGGAAGAATATATTTTAAAATATTAGTTTTGTTGTGAAATTGGCATTTTTTTTAAATTTTGTAACAGACTTCTTGGGGATTCTGTGTCCTAATAACCTAGCCACTTCAAGACTTAGAAATATTTCTTCTTACTCATTTTACATAATTTCAAACTATCCAATTTTTAAAACTTTAAATAAAATTTGGAAAAACTTGAATTTGAAACATTTGTTTTGAAAACTTTTTTGTCTAAGCATGTTAGTTTAAGTTTTTATGTTAAAAAACACATTATTAAGTTATAATTTTTTTGTATAGAATATTTATTTAAAAGAGATATGCAACTATAGAAATTGTTTGCTCCTTAAAAAATAAAATTTGTTTTTGACCTTCTAAGTAAAGTAAGATATGTTTTTTTTTAAAAAAGTGACTAATACTTTGATATAGAATTAATGTTTTTAATTCAATGTAATATTTTAAATCTGAAAGAAAACTTTTTATCAACCTAATATATTAATAAATAGTTAGTTTTCAATAAAATAAATGAATTAAATACACAATTCTCATTCTCTTGAAATTTGCATGTTTGCAGAGTTACTAACTATTAACACCATTTTAATTATACAATTGTCAAGCTTTGCGAGCAAATTTGCATAAACTATAACTGGAAAAGCTGAATTTTTTTAGCTGAATTGTATTGAACTTAGCTGGGTGAGATTGATAGTTGAAAAATGCCAGATATATTTATTAGTTCTAAGATTTTATATATGTTATAGATTCTTAAATGTTCCTCTCTCAACATTTCTTCCAGAACTTCCCATCGCTTAACATGCAAGTTTTCCTGTAGATCATACCCTTTTTTTTCTTTATTCAATTGTAAAAAAGTGAATAGTGCGAATAATTTAATATAAACTTGTCCAGGAATTTAATGTTGAGGAAATTGATACCAAGATATGTTAAAATTAACAATTTTTACCAGAAAATGAAATTCAACCAACCACTTTTCCAGTTTGACAACGAAAAATATAGCCACAGTAACAGTCAGCACCAGTTAAAGTTGTTTCTCTGCAGATGAAGCCAAAATGGTCTAAATAACGAAGACCCTAAAAATAGAAATGAGCAGCAAACTATTCATAGTGATAAAAACTAAGAGAAAAATGAATACTCTTATTCAAGTTTGAAAATACCGATAATGATGAACATCCAATCAGTGTTTACAATCATAATTATTAAGAATTATCTTAAGATTATTAATCTTACTTTAGCAACAATAATCTTAACGATAGCTAATTTTGAGCATAAATGAAAACGTATAACTTTTATGACCACAAAGAAAATATATTAATAAATATTGCTTGATTATTGCAGCTAGGCAAAAATAATACAGTGAAATATATATATACACAGTGAAAATCTGCTAAGTTAACCACCTCTCTAAGTTCACTTCTATAACCCAAAATATTTATAACCTGACTGCTTATCTATCTTTAAATATTAATCCCTGAAATAAGTCATATTTTCTCAAAAAAATTTCCGTATTATTATTATCTGCATTACAACTTCACTAAATTAGTGAAACAGTATTAAAAGCTAACGTAAATACCTTTATAAATTGAGAATAAGAGGAAATTTTAAGGGCTGTTGTAACAAATAGGTTTGCAAAAATAACAAAATAAATTTTGAAATAAAGACATAAATAAACTGTTGAGTTTCTAATTCCAGATATATTCCAGTGTATTGACAATAAAAATTAATTATAGTAAATAACTGGCATGCAAAATTAACAACCTAATTTTTTGAACTAATATTTAATATTGAATTTATATAACAAATTGTAATTCATTCTGTAAATAATCTCATTTTTTAAGATGTATGGGGTATTTGCTAGGAGTGCAGAATATATCCAACTGCTCAAACACAGTTCAGGAGAAATTCAGGCAGCCCTGAAGAAATCTTTAGTCCAATTAAAAAGAAATACTAAAAAATGCTTTGCGAAAAAAAATGTGACAAAATTACCAAAATTTTTCCCTGAAAAAAATTTCGGAAATAAAATTGAATCAAATCAATAAAATCCTGATATTTTTAATAAAATTTTACGACATGAAAATAAGCGCTGATCTGAGCAATTACTTCTTGGTGAGCTTGATTTGTGCAGATTTCATCTGGTATTTATGCGGACTTATGTCAGTTTTTTTTTCTAGGCAGATATTGTAACGGATGTCTTGATTCTACAATTTTTTGGATCGATTTTTCTGTATTACTATCATACATGGCAATACTTTTACTTGCACTTCATTACCTTTTAAATTTAATAATTTCACTTCTTTTCTGTTACTTTTTTTGGGAAAAAGTATTTGTAACGAGAAAGTGGACTTTTCTCTGAATTTTTTTAAAAATTTTCCTCTAAAAAATTCTTTACATTTATTTATTTTTTATTTATAAATTTAGTTAATCATATATTTTTGAACAGTTAACTTTTTCTAAACACCTTTAAGAACTGCAATTTCCTGAAAAGGAGAAGGCCAGAGGACTGGCCGAGCCAGAACACCAGGGCCAATCCTGGAAAAATTTAAAAAGGAAAAATAAATTGACATTAATTGTGTTTTAAATCTCCATTTCTTAGAAGAAAACTTAAAAACGAATGATTTGTAATAAGAATTTATTTTATCGTCAACCATTCTTGCATCCTTTGTCCTTCTCTAACAAAAAGAGTATTTTTTGTTCCATCTGACCACAATGGGTCGAGCAAAGAGGTCGAAAGTCACAACATGTTACAAGCAACACCTGTAAGTTCCTAGAAATTAACAACCACCCCATCTGCTTGACAGTTTTGTTTCTATTGAAACATTTTTGTTAATATAGAAACAAAATATTCGGATAGAATCTTCTGCTCTTGATTAAAAAAAAAAATGATTATTTCTATCCTTGTTTTCAAATCAATCCCCTGTACTTCACTGCTACCAAATTATCCTTTACTCATCCCCTGCCTGAATGATATATGCGTACCTTTGCTGACCGTTGGGAACATTCTTAGTTTCAAATATCACTATCTTATCATTATTGCTTCAGGAAAAGGGTTGTCAGACTCCTTTCTGAGCTTCTATTTTCTCTCAAGTGCCATGGCTCATCTTGAGGGTCCTTTGTTTGAATTTCAGACACAAAATTTTCTGGGGGTCTTTTTCTTAAGGAATTGTTAAACCACAGAGGAACACTCTCAACTTCAAATGAACTCGCCAAGATAACCATATTTTTTGGTCATTCTGTCACAAGAGTTGCTTGCTCACAATAGTAAAAAATACTTTTAGAACCATCTAGTCCTTTTTTAGGTAAGTTAAGAAAATTTTTCTTTTTTTTAAATACCAAACGCCATAACTCATGTAAGCATTAATTATTTAACATTGTGTTATCTATAAAAGTTAAATTATCTGATTTTTTTTATAATTAAAGAAGTTCTGCTAAAACTTAAGACAATATCACTTTATTTTTAATGGTTAAAGTTATATGCCAAGAAAAAATGTATACCCATGTCTCACATTGACAATCTTGAATGTCACATTATTTTATTTCTAATGCCCATCTGAGTTCCGTTCTAGTAAAAATAACTTACACTATACCTATATATTCATTTCGTGTAAAAAAAAACTGTTTTACCAGTTTTTTAAAAAAAAAAACTCTTGCTTTAAGGAATTAAAGATGTCTAAGCCGCAAAATGACCGTAGTTAATATTCTCACTATTTCGTAAAAATTATCTGTTGGCTAATCTGACTGCCTTGTGATGAGGGTAAAAACACAAATATTTTTAAATTATTGTTACATGAGCCTCAGACAAAGTGAAAAATATTTAAGTTTTATTTATGAAAAATTTTTTTGCAATCTATTTGAAAGTTTTAAAATATTTTAAACAGACTAGCATTTTCAAATTGAATCAATTTCTAGATTTCAAAAAAATCTCAAAAAATGAAAACGATGCAATTAGACAACAAAAATATAATTTTTTTAACAGTTAACTCAGTGCAGTACTTATTGAACAATCACCAGTTATACCAAGAGTACAGTTCTAAAATGAAGACATGATTTTTTGAAATTTTAATATATATTTTTTTAAGTAAAAAGCATACATTTTTTCACCAAGTTTTAATGGATTAACATAACCATAAGGAAAATAAAAATACTGTCCATTAGGAATATGCAGCAATAATAATGTGTTAATTACATTTTCTAAAAAAGTGCTTGCTTTCGTTCGCCACTCCCAGGACTGTCTATGACATTGATTTCAGATTGCTTCGTTGAATTTGTTTAGAAATTTAAGAAAATTAAGATGTATTGTTAATTGTCAGCATATTGACAAAAGATATAATTCTACTGGTAACAGTTTTCGCTAAACTAAATAGGGAGATCCCTCCCTTGCTCACAATGCTTTCCAACCTTTTCAGATTGTTTCCCTCACTGTCTCTACCTCGATCTTGCTTAATACCTCAGTCTTACTCTCTGATATATATATTAATTATATTAGAACTGAGCCATGATGGCTCAGTGGTTAAGGCACTGAACTGTCATAATGAAGAACTGGGGTTCAATCCCCAGTGGCAGCTAGAAGCCCACCCTGCTTCAGATCGATGGGTACCAAGTTGTCAGGGAAGTAAAGGTGACCTGCGCACAATGCTGACCACATTGCCACAATCATCTGTTAGTCACAAAATTGTGGAGGCTTAACCTCCATGAGCCCTCTGGCAGGAATGCCTTACTTTACTTTATATTAGAAGCTCTACCCCTGCTCACTTTTGCTTTACAAGCAAAAGCAGCAGCTGCAAAATAATTATTCCAAAAGTTATTAGAAATTTAAGCCTATTTTTTATTTTCAGTTTATTGGCAGAATATATACCAGGTCACAAAAACCCGGAACTAACTGCTTTTGCAGTAAGTAGTTTATTTCAGATCTCATTTGCTTTATTGTTCAATACCTTAGTTTATATATTTTATTTTAATAATACTTCATGAAATGGATTAGTTTTCACAATCACTTTAAACTGGAATTTGTCTAAAATGAACTGCTCACACCTAGGCATTCAGAGATTAGAGTAATATTAATATTATTATCGATTAATATTAATACACCATAGCTCACACAGTGCAGATTTATTCAAGCACTAAGATGGATTCTTTTTTTGCAATTTGTCCATTTTTAACATTATACTTGCATATTTTTATCTGGCGTAAAACACAAGTTTACACATGTTTCAAATTCAGAAGTGGAAATGTTTGTAAGGAGTTTGTGTTTCCCTAGCAAAATATGTTTAATCTCCAAACTAAGTATTAAAACAAGTTACTGCCACCAATACTAGCGTTTCAAAAACTCTTTACCAAGTGTGCTTTTCTGTGTCATAAAAACTATTTAATGAAATATATTAAATTTTCTACATTTGCAGAGAAATGTTTTTAAAAAATTCTGGTATCAAAATGTCGAGGCAGTCACTAGTTATTAAATTATTTTATGTCAAAGATCACGTAATTCAGCATCCCATAATTTAGTTTAGTGAAAACTATAAACAGAAGAATTAAGATTATTTTAAAACTAAGCATTATCTAAAATTGTCTCAGTTTGTTTAAATTTCAAATTACTTTTGGAATAATTAAATAGTTCATAAAAACTGAATTTTGAATTTTTCAATATAAAAGAAAAACTAATCTCAGTAAAATTATAATTTTTTGCATCCACTTTTGACTAAAGATAAAAAAAAAAATATATTAAAAAAATATTTTAAAAATTTTTTTTAAAAAAAATGACTTTTTCTAAAATTTTGGTGAATTTTTATACAACCACAAAAGATAAACAAATATGTCTTTATTTTCTCGGCAAACCAAAACAAACTACTCACTTTCTTAGAATTTATTTTAATTAGGGGACTGTGGTTAACATTTATATAAACTAAGAATGAGAATTTTTCTGCTTCTGAGGAGTCTCCTTTCCCCTCTCGCCTGTAAGTGATGTTGCATGTGTGATGTCAGTAAAAGTATTTCTTTTTTCTTTCTTTAATGTATTCTAAAATTATTATTTTTAACTTTCATAAAAATTAACTACAATTTTTAATTTAATAGATTTTAAAGGGTTACCTGTATATAAAGACAATTTCTATTTATTTATTTATTTACTTATTTCTTTAAACAAAAATTATGTCATTGAATTTGCTCAACAAATTTACAGCTGAAAGTTTAAAAAAAAAATTCTAAAAACTTGGTAGTTTTAAAATTAACATAATTTAAAACTCCTTTCTATATGCAAACACTGAATTTTTATTTTTGGTTTGGTTTCTGGATATTTTCAGCATTCATATTAAACTGTGTGCTTCTTGACCAGGTATACTCAAGGAAGAATCATGATGATTTAAACTATGTTTAATAATTTAACGATAAAACATAAGTATAATAAAATAACATGCTAGGAAAAGGTAAACAGAAGAATAACAGCAAATATCAATTAGTCAAGTCCTTATATACTCTCTCTGGATCAAGACAGAAGTGCCACTGTTTTGCAACTAAAAACTGCCGTCATGGATTCATTCATTAGTGATGACAAGAAGTGACGTTGGCTGACATCTCAACAATTCACTATTTCAATGAATTTTATAACATTTTCCTGTATTTTAAAAATTTATACATTTATATTAAAATTTAATTCCCTTTAAATAAAAAAATATTTTTCTTAAACTTTTTTAATTAAAATTATTCAATTTCCTCGAAATGTACTTTAAAGTCGTTATTTTCTTTGTTTTGAACATGTAATTTTTATTTGTTACTTTCTAAAATCAAAACTTTTCACTTCTTACTCGCTACTTCTGCTTTTAATACTTTTACTTGTTACTTTTTCATAGTAACGTTCCCATGTATGATTGCCATTGATTTGTACATGGCTTTAAGACGAGGTGATTCAACTTTTTTTTTTGGCTATTCTTCATTTAAGCAATTTAGCATCATTCTAATTATTTTAATTTTACAACCCTTTGATATTTTTTATTAGTGTTTGAAACATTCATGTTTACTTTTCAGTTTATCTTTGCATTGTTTGCACTTTTCTATTAAACATCTGATCAAAAATAAGGGTAACTGGATATCCTAGGACAGAGAGCAGCAATGATTGGACATAAGTTGAGAAATACTAGTTAAAAAACTTAACTTAATTAGTATTACACCCTAATATACTTAAAAAATTCCAAAATATTTACTAGAATTATACTTTAAAATTTATTTGACAATGTGATTTTTATAACTTAGAGTAAAATTAAATAAAAAGCAAACAAAATCATTATTATTATATCATTTAGTAGAACAACTACAATGAATAAGGGCTAATTTTTAAATTTCTTTTATATAAGTTATTTTATCTTTAATAAAAAATAAATCACTTCTAAGGCAACTGTAGAGACAGTTAAAGAGAAAAAGTACCATATCAAAAAATTTATAAACCAATATATATATCTGATCTGGGATTTTTCGATGCTCCACTGTATATATGTATATACAGTGGAGCGTCGCAGCATCGTTTATACGACGCCGAAGGGACCACCTCTCGAAAAACGTCGCATAAACGATAACCTCTTATAATCGATTTTTACTTCTAAAACTAGAACTTTGTTTTCAGTTAATTGCAATGTTTAACGTGATGATTTACATAACTTTCTAAATTAAACAAAGCAAAACAAACAAATAACAAAAGAAAAATTACAGTAAGCAATTTAAAGGTACGTAACCTTTATATAGATATATATTTTTTTTTTAATATTCAAAATTTGTTGGGTTTTTTTCACTTTAATTATTTTACGCAAAGTTTAGAGAAAAAATTTTCTACGGTTGTTTGCCGTGATGATTGACTTTAAGCTGTAATTAATGACCTGTGTAATGAATCAAGGTCCTGAAAAGTTTTTTCGCTGGTATTGTGATAAAGAAAATAAGTTCTTAGTGTTTTAATGGAATTCATTGCATCTTGAAAAGATGGCGTAACAACTTCTTGGCATTCCTCGTTCTCCTCACAGTCACTATATGGCTCAGACTGTGTGTTCTGAATAAGCTCATCCACAGTGCAAACCACTGACATTACTACATTCTCATCACAATCCATGTATTCATCAAAAGTTGTCTCTGTTGGGAGCAAATTCTAATCATCATCATTAATTATTGTATCATCAATTTCATTGCGATTTCTTTAGTTTTTTCCTTGAACATTGGACCAATACTGAAATATTTGTCGCACAACACTGATTGAAAAACTGAAGCAAAACCTTTTCCATTTCAGGAAATTTACCTTCTTGCACTCGCATTTTCCTTGATGCCGAAGATCCACAGGCTTTAGCATGTTCCTCCATTATTTGACGATCATGAATAATAGACTTTAAGGTAGAAACTGGAATACCCACCATTTCAGCCAAGTCAGCTTTTGACCTAAACGGTGAACCTTTATTGAATCCCTTCAAAGTTTAAATTTTTTCTTTCACCGAGATAGACTTACATTTTCGAGACATGTCTGAAAAACGATGTGAACAAAACAGTACGCATAGCAAAGAACGAAAAAAAATATATCTGTAGTGCTAGTGCACTGATAAGGAAAGAATGTCCTTAACTAGCCATAGCAATAAACCAGGTTGGGAAATCTGCTCACCTTCTTCAAAAAGGAATTCCCCTTCTTTGTGCAATCCGTTACACATTTGTTTTTCTACCCCCACCACCCCACATTGTTGCCACGTGCTACATTTACACATGCTCATTTCTGTGCCATTCATGTTAGAAAATTCCACCCGTTTTTAAAATACACAAGAAAAAATAAAAAAATAAACCTGAGCAAAATCGGAAAACTGAGATATAACCGATTTTGTGTGACCGATAAACGTTATATTTTTACATTAAAATGAATAGGAATGAATTGGGACCACACTAAAATATTGTATAAATGTAAACGTCTTATAAACGATCGTTGTATAAACGATGCTCCACTGTGTGTATATATATATATATATATCATACTTGTTTCTACATATATAAATATAATATCATACTTGTGAACAATGAGAAATGTCACTGAATGTTTTATTCAAAAGCATCTGTTTCTTATCTGTTCCAATTAAACAAATTTCCATTCGACCAATTAGAAACAACATTGTTCTGTTGGTTTGTCGAGACTCATTAGGAGAAGGACTAGTATAAGCTCGAGGTCGGCGAACGTCATCTTTTTCAGATCGATTAAAAACAAAAAGTGGTGTTTGCTTTGTACTAGGAAAATCTCCACTACAAGATCGCACTCGATCTCTCAGTACAACACTAGGATTACTGTCTCTAAGATCATGAATAATGTTTACACAACCTGGAGTATCTAGACTTTGAGTATGAGTGATAAGTGAAGATCCAGGAACATGAAGAGATGACTTAATAGAAGATAGATCCATACTTTGACTGCTACTCAGGGAATATTGGTTCAGATTTGAAAATCCAACATCTAACTTACAAATGTCATTAATTGGCGAGATTAGGAGATCATTATTACCCTAAAAAACATTTAACTTAATTAAATGATATAAAAAATTCTTAAATTTCATTACTAAACAGAAAAATAAATACAAGGCTGCCAACTACTATGCTTTTTGTAAAACATTTCATAGTGTAACAGAAGATTAAATTACTGGAACAAAATGGTGTTTTATATGAACTTTTGAATAATTTAAATTAAGTGGTGGAAAAATAACTTTAAATCAAATATACTAAACTATAAATTATATGTTAAAATATAAAATTTATAACCACTAGAATATATTTTCCCACAAAACACAGATAGTTGGCATCCCGGCAAACATTGTAAGAAGTTGCAATGTTTTAATAATCATTTATTTATTTGTTTGTTTTAAACACAGTAGATCACAACAAAACACACTGAATATAATTTTTATTAAATCTTTGAACATATCTCATTAGTTTAATCAACTACAGCTATTTATCAGTCAATAAAATATTTCACTGCAAGTTAATTTAACAAATTATGTTTATTGAAAACTTAGATACATTCTCTATATTACCCCTATAAGAGTCCTTAATTTATTAATAGCCTTTGGAAAAAGATACATTTTATGTAATGAACCTGGAATAAAACAAACAGTGTAAAAATGAGCAATTTATAAGCTGTTCATAAAAATTAAGCATAATGATAACACTGGGAAACAAATTTTTTGTTGCATTTAGACAAGTACTTGATGCTGCCTAATTTGCATGCAGGGATTTCAAATCTGAAATTAGTTTTGCACCTAAAGCAACATATTTTTGTTAAATAATGACACTTTTAATCAACTTTTTGTCAAATGAAAAAGTTTAAAAACGTTAGATATAACAGGGGTCACATAAATGTTGAGATAAAATTCTAGGGTTGTTAGAACACATCAAGATTAAAATTGCATAGGAACTTATGTCCATATATATTAGGGATCAGTACATAAAATATGCATAAGTACCTAAGAACAAAAACAATCCAACTATTATTGAAATCAATTAGAGAAAAGAGGGAAATAAAATCATGGAAAACCAGTTTACTTAGGATGAAGCTGAAGGGTGTGTCCTAAAATCCAGTAAGACACTTGTTGCATTAGATTTTAAAAACTAATTTTAATATTATTATTTTGATCCTCTTTTTATCATTTAGTTCTCAATTTTGATTGGTTAGAATACACAAACTTTTTCTTCTAATTTAATTATTAATTTGTGATGCCTAATGTACATAGTTTTCTGACTTCAATTTTTACAAGGGTTGTAACATACATACTAAGGGTGTTCATTGTGCAACACTTTGTATAAGCTTGTAATTTTAAGAAAATAGAAAAAATTTAAAATAAATTTTAAAATGTTTTAGCATATTTATGAATATGAAAAGAAAAGAACATTTAAAGAAGTGCTAATTGCAAAAAAAGCCTTACTCCATTACTAAAATTGAAGTCTTCTTTACTGATTTTTTTCTCAACTTCATTTTTGCCAGAACTTTTACTCAACCTGAGAAATAAATTGCTTGTAACCTTTTCAGAATGTTTATTTTTGTAGCTTTTTTCAAGTTCAAAGAGCCGAAATTTTTCTACAGCTTCATCAATAAAATTAGGGTGGGCTCTTTTACCAGATACCTAAAACATTCAGAACAATTTCATTTTAAAAATAAATAAAAGATGTTTATGAGATTTATTTTATAACTTTAAAAACTAATACACAAAATAACACAATATATTTGTTAAGAAAACACATTATTAGTGAAAATAAAAATAAAAAAAATTCTTAAAAGCATTAAAAGTTTAAAAATATATACAGGATTTTAAGCTGTGTAATTATTTGTTTCAATAATATTTAGGCATTTAATATCAAATTAGAATAAAGTGACTTGATGTGATCACGATTGTTCTATATAATACAATTTTGCACTTAGTAAGATTCTTTTTATGAATTTATTATATTTAAAAAACTTATTTCAAGTATTTTTAGGTTCTTAATCACTTGGTTTACACAGTTAAATTAGTACTTGAAATAATGTAAGCACATAATTAGGCAATCATCCTGAAAAAACAAACTTCTTTCAGAAAAGTGGTTAAAGACCAGAAAAAAATGAAAAAGTTTAAAAAATAAATAAATAAGAATAAAAACTGAAAGGAACATGAAATGATTACAGATAACTGCTTAAAATTATTAAATCTCTTTAAACTGTGTTTTGTAGCATTCAAATTTAAACTAAATGTTAAGATTTAATTTTTAAAACTTTCATCAAGTGTTAGTTTAAAATTTGATTTGAAATTTATTAATATTTTGTTCATTCAATCCTGCATCAAACATTTTTATTTTTAAAATTCAGTAGTATTTTGCAACATTTTCAAACATCATTTAGGATTTAAGAAATAATACATGCAATTTTGGTTTTTATTATTACAAGTTATTTTTTAAAATGAAAACACAGTAAAATTTACAAAAAATAAAAAAAAAAGTTATTGCATTTTTTAACAGTTAATTGTTTTAAGAATATTGTACCAAAATATTGAATTTATTTTCTAAAAATTTTAAAGTTATAGCACCATCTCATGCACACTGTAGTACAAGCTGTGACACATATGAACAAGTGAACTTGTGTTGATTAATAGATTGCTGTTTAATAATTTGATTAATTGCTTAATCCTAAAAAATGACAACTCAGTTGATTAATTGCTCACACCTATCACAGTAAAAAGCTATTATTTTAACTATTTTATTGAAATAATTTGTTTCAATTATGCAAGAAAAAGAGCTAATGGTACTTTCAATATAAATAGACAGCTGTAAAATTTTATATATTTATAAAAATTATTGATTACTTTGAACACAATTTATTCGAAACTGTTTCTCTTACTTGCTGTATCTTTAATTCAATTTTCAAAAGATTTACTTTAAATTTTGACACAATGTTCACAATTAATATAATTTTTGCTGTACTTAGGGATTTTTTAACAGAGTTGACTGATATTGAGTAACCCACAAAAATGTAACTTATTTTATGTTATTTTTTCAATTCAGCGAAAACTACATTCATGTAGTTTTAAAAAAATCTAATTTGGAAGACTTTTTTTCAACTTAAGAACACAGCAATGGATAATTTCAAAAATTAACTTTAAGCATTGAGTAACATAAGTTCCAATTTCCAAACTTTTGTATTTGAAACATGATAAAATGAAGATTAAAATATGTACAATAAGATGAAAAAAATATGTATACATTAAGTTAATCACCATTATAGCAAAATTCCTTAAAAAATTCTTTTCACAGGCTTTTACTGTGTTGTTCTCTCTTAAACTATGAGCAGAAAACTGCTGATCTTTCAGAATACAAGTTAAAAGTATTTACAGTTTACAAAAAGGTTGTAAATAAATTGCTGGTACTCAGATGCTTGTAGTTTTAGTTCTACTGAACAGATTCTAATAATCCCTTAACTGCCAAGTAAAATTTACGTGATTCACTCACCAGTGCCACTGTTTTTCGCTCAAGTGCACTTCCTTACGCGTTGCAATTTCAAAACAGTTTACTTTTACAAGACAAGAAAAAGGAAAGAAAGAAAATAGAAAATTTAAATTAAATAATAAAAATACAATATAAAGTATGTTAAAACTTAGCTGTTGTATGATAAATCTTGAAACATGGTTCAACACATAAACCAACATTACATTCATTGCACTGATAGCGGGATTCACAGCGAATTTTTTTTCTTGAACAAACAGCACATTTTCGCGATGCATTTTTCTTTGAAGACGTTGATGGAAAGAATAAAAAAGCAGCAAATACTCACGGGAAACGAAAAAAGAATAAACCCGACCTTACTCAAATAGAGACACGATAGTGATTAATACGATATCACTTTCCCATAAAATCCTTTTCCCATTCCCCCTCCTCCGAAATTAGTAATACACTCGCAAAGCAAACACTTTCAAGGTCATTTTACTGCATTCTGCAGTAAGGATGTAGTTCTATTTATAGCAGCGTAACGCAAAGCATTGTACTTCGGGAAAGCATATATACACGCCTGCGGCAGTTAACGTATCATCTGGTCAAGACGTATATATACGTACACGGCAGTCAAGGGGTTAAGATCATAGGGCCAAAGTATCCTTTGAAAAAAATGGTCCAAAATTTTGCTCTCAGGTGCGACTGTACCAGAATTTAAAAAAAAGAAATTAAGAAAAAGATACCAGCACAAAAATTAAACAATATAAATTTTTATTTGATTATGATATACATGCTCCGTGTGCAGACCTTTTAAATCAACAATATGCATATAGCTGCATGCATCACTAAATATGCTTTTAGTAGTACAGCGCTTTTAGTACATTTTTCTGTCTGATTTCAGAGGGTGGAAAATGAAACCTGAAATTGAGAATACCTTGCAAAATACAGCAGAGTTGCACATGAGAGTGCAAGAATCTCAGCGAATCTAGCTCAGTAGACTCCCAAGTATTTCATCAAATATGTAACATGATTGGTGCTATCACACGTTACGGACCGACGGTATGCCGAAAAGGATTATGGTTGACTGTGAAAACCACGCTTTAACATAACACATAGCGAAAATTGACATGGTGAAGAAAAAAAATCTCATTTCCGAAAAGGGAAAATTAAGCATTTTTAAAAAACACCCCATGAAAGAAAGCCCCTTTAAGGGCTTTTAAAAAACGAAAATCGAAAATAAACACATTTAAGCACTTTTTAAAAACGTTACGCACCATGCCCTTATCTTAACATATATATCAGGTTCATTCAGTAGATCTGGAGTGAGAAGCCTTTGAGTAACATCAGTTTAATTTTAACAACCATCCTGTACAACATGATTATAGTTTCATATTAAGGTATAGATTAAGAGATGATTATAGTTTAAAAATTATCTTGTAAAACTGAATTACATTTGTTACTTTCTTATTTATTGTTTTCAATTCTAAATGAAATATTAATTATTTTAAATCATTTTTTAAAGAAATTTACAACATTACATTCTAATTAAATATTTATTGAAGTTAAAATATCTTGTAATAAGTAAGATAAAATAGTTCGTGAGTTTTAAAAGATCAGTTAATACAATGGTTAATTTTAGCATCATGTAATGAGAAGTAACTATAAACATGTACCTTAACTGTTATTATTTAAATACAGTAAAATACATTCATTTAATGTTTATTTGTATATAAAATTAGGGTAGAAAAAGTTTATTTTTACTAGATTTATAATATATATCAAAATTATATGCACGAACATGTAGTTAAATATCTTCTTAGGAATGCATGATTTTTATTGTATGTGAAATTAAGTTCAGATTTATCAATGATAAACTGTATGTTTTTGTTAATTGTTTGTAAACTCAGTTATTCTATCCTAATCAAACTATAACTTATAGTAAGTAAATTTTAAAAAATGAGATTATTTGTAATTAAATATTATAAAGTAGAAATATTTATTAAGCAAATAATTTTCCAAAAAAAAATTTTTTTTCATTAGTATATTCATCCAAGTATTAATAAATTTCAGTTTTCATAAAAATTTGTTATTGCACTATAATGTGATACTTTAACTATGTTAAACATGTAATTTTAAATGAAAAAGAACAATTTCCTTCTAATTAAGTAACTTATTTCTTCCGAGTAAAATAAACATGCCAACTATGTTTATGCTAACATATAAAAGTAATGAAATCTCCAAGCTAGCATGGGTACACTTTTACGAAAATAGCAATTATACAAATCTTAAACTCAATTTTTTATAAATTAGGATTAAGGGTATATAAACTTAGAAAAAACTTAAGGTAACTTTAATGGTGAAATTTGAGAATTTTTAAGGAACAAATACAGTAGAGAACCAATTATCCAGAAAACTGGGGAGCATAGCTATCCCAGATGTCTGAATTTCCCAGTTTTCTGGATCGCTAAAAAATTATTCAATACAGCTTGACTATATATTTCAACTTTTAATATTGTATAATAAAAAATAGCTGTTTCAGCATTCCAATTAAAAATTTGTATTTTCTCTTTACTCCTCTTACTTTATTATATTTATATAGTAAAGTAATAGTTATGTATTTTTCTTATACTTTCCCTACCACCTTCTGTTTGCTGATATTTTCCTCTCGTAAAGTAAAAGATAAATATGTAATCATTTGTTACATCTGATTTCTTTTTCAAAAGTAAAAAAAACAAAATAAATTATAAATAAAAAATTAATTAAAAAAACATGAATAAAAAAAAAGGTCAAAATTTCTCCAATCTACCTAGTGATTAATCTGGCTGAAACTGATTTTCTATCCAGGAGAATTTTTTTGCTCAGGCGCACTTTTCTCATGATTGCGTTATTCCATTCAACTTTCAGGGATTGAAAATTGGACGGACAGCTGTAGGTTTTTCTACCGGAAGAGCACCCCATTTTTCAGCATTTAATTTCCAAACTCACTGTTACGTATACGCTGTCATTTCAGGTGAGTCAAGTGATTTGGTTCATTTCATTTTATCTAAGTACATCTGATTGAACGGGGAGAAAAAGGAATTCCCTACGTTTTCATCTACTCAGCTTCAAGGATGACTCAGTTGATCCAGTTTAAAAATGACAGGGAAAGTGAGCAAAGTTATTCCCGGTTTTCTAGAAACCAGATAAAAGGTTTTATACTTTGGGGCGAGTGTTATCGACAATGTCAACCTTCATCTATGAAAAGATACCCCAAGATAGATACCCAAGAGTTAACATGGCTTATATACTAGTGAATAATTTTATTTTTATTTTATAACTATCGTTGAACAGCTGACCCAATTTCATGGGTTTACAACTACTAATGTTCAACTCCGTAGCTTTGTAATTTTGAACCAATCCAGAGAACAAGGAAACTCCTGGATCAGTACCCCCAAAGGTATTGATTTGTTATGGGAACCTGAAGGACTTTGACTCTCGACAGATATAACATGCATCAGTCACCATTTTACTACACGGGGAGTCTTCGGCCGGTGAGAATCGAACCAACAATCTCTTGGACATGGGCCCAACGCCCTACCGACCAGGCTATCCCGGCCACCTAGTGAATAATTGTAATGATAGTTATGCCACAATACTCCGTACCAGAATTTTATCAGGGATAGATTTTGATGTCTGGATATCACTAGTTAATTCATTGTCATTTTTGCAAAAGACTGTGAGAGCTGTATTAAGTTTACCAGATTTTGAGCACGGGTGGTGAGATCTGTATTAAGTTTACCGACAATAGAGCATTAGCCGTGTAAGCTGTATTAAGTTCACAGTTGTGTATGGTCACTCTCGTGTTGCTATTAGAAGCAAAGTGTGTGCAGGGTCTCGTTGTGTTCAATAGAGATTGAGTAGCAACAATGTGACGAAGACAATGACGCAGTCACAAATAACGAGTAAACTGATTAATGTGGACCATCCATCAAAATAGACGTGTTCTAATCAAAGTGGGTGTAACTGTCGAGGTAGACGAGTTCATATCACGTCTGGGTCAACATTGTAGTGAAGGTCAATATTAATGAGTTAGTGTTTGTTGATACATCTTCAATAACCGAACGATTAGGAATATAAGCTTTAAAAACAAATTCCAAACATAACAGGTTATAAAAATACAATTAGCTTAGTATGGTAGACCATTCTTGTTGACATCTCAATTAAAATATCTGAGAAGAAAGTAGAAGCAGTAGTTTTTATACTAAGTAAAAGTAGAAGTTAGTATGTGCGATTGTAGCACTACCTCATAACATATACTAGGAAGGATGAATCTACACATTACAATACAGCTAACTATACTCCTACTTAATTATTGATTACAAATAGCTGTATTTTAACCATTTTCATATTTCAATTCATTTACGCTTACTTTATAATATTTACGTAGTATAGTGATGCAATTTTTTTTATTACAGTTCAACTTTCTGTTCACTATAAGGATGTGTAATGCATTTCCCTCTCTTAAATCAAAGACCCAACAGCTTTCTCTCTACTGAACTTCAAAAATGATCAGAATATAAACATTTCGCTTCAATCATTCTAGTTCAAAATGGTAGGAAAACAAAGTTTTCCCCCGGTTTCTTGGATACCAAATATAAGTTTCTGTACTGTACTGTATCAACATCATATAAGAATTAAATGCAGATCAGACGAAAAAATTATGTATTATTCGTATGCAGAAAATAAGAACTCTGTTTAGAGTAATAAACTTACTAAAATTACATAAAACTTAATTAAAATTTTTATATTTCAAAAATATATATTTGGCAAAATTTTCTTACTTCAGTAGTTATTTAGAAGTTTAAAATTGTAAAATTTAAATTTCGAGAATAATATTGGAAATTCTAAACCAAAATGTTAATATTTATGAGGGTTATTATTATTATATGCAAATTTTAAAAAAATAAAAAAACAAAGATTTCAAATATAATTGAATGTTCAATTGAATGGGTTTTTTTTTTTTTGGTAAATAAAGTATAAGTATAGATAATGTATGTAAAACTAATTTGTGTTATAAATATTTGCATTTTGTAAAACTGTTAAGAAAAATATATTTTTGGAAATTTCAAATTATTCATAAATCAAAATAACTACTTTTTTAAGTAAAATTTTGTCAAAATTGAACTTATACAAGTCAATATTATATTTTACAAAGAAGAAAAAACTAGTGTTCATAACATATAGATTTTATAAGCTTTTTCCCATAATAGTAAGTATAGTAAATAAATATCCAAGTAAATATCCAGAGCATTTACCCTGAACTATAAAAACCCAGGTATTTCAAATCTATACACTAAAAAATTTGTGTCAACTATATTATAACTTTGTGGTTGATGAAAACCATCTGAAAACCAAATAACAAAGTACATAATAAGGTGAAGTTGCTATATCATAAACACCATAAATATTCACTCACAAATAAAAAGACACTAAACTTACTTTGACTAAACAATACTTTAATAACAGTTAAGAAACTAGCAGATAAATCAATAATAAAATAACTTTTTTGCTATAGATTTTAAAATGTATAAACGTAAATTTGTCTATTTCTGCATGTGAGTGCATTATGCACATTTGCTTATCATTGAAAAGAGAACTATACTTCACCAACTTTTCGACTATAGATCAAGACATCCCAGGATAAGAATCTATAGTAATATGCCGTTTCTCCCTTGTCCGATAGTAATTTAAGATGTTTCACATTTTACTTGTGGTAACATTAAAAGAAATAGTGGTTCAAATAATTTCTTAGAAACTTCTGCTAAATCAAATGTACAAAAATATCTTAAACTTATTTTCGAAGAAATTTTCAAAACAAAAAATTAAACCTAATTTTGGTAGCTACTTTAAAATGAATGATTTAGTGTTCTAATGGGCATTTATATTTATGGAATAACAAATGGGACTTTATTTGGAAGAGTTGCTATAATGTGAGATCCTACATAGATAGAAATTTACATCAAAATATATGTGTGAGTATAAAATATGTATCATTATAAGTACAATATAAGTATTAATATATGCATATTATAAGTTTGTATTTAAATACATTACCTTCAAAATTTCAGGTTCAAACATACATAAAGTTCTCATATATTTAAAAAATACACATGTTACTTTAAAATATACATGTTACTTTAATATTTAATGAAAAGTTTAATAATTCAATATCAATTACTGCTTTTTTGTCATAATATAATATTTTTTTCCAAAGCGTTTCCAAATGATTTGGTCTGAATGGTCATGGCATTTTCCATAAGGCTACAGCACAATATGATAATTTAACACACTTTGTAGTACAATGCTTAGACCTATATTCATTATAAAATATGTTTTCAAGATCAATAGATTTATTTGACTGCAAAAAAATGGGAAAGAAAATAACTTACTTTGATTCTTCCAACATATAACACCTCATACTGACGAGAATTACAAACAACTCTATCCAAAGTGACACCACTAGCAGTTTTCATGGCTTGAGCAGACAAATTATTGTGACTGGACAACTCTTTACTAACTTCTCTAACAGTTTTAAAAAGTTCAAGTACCTTTTAAAAAAAAATTATTTTGCAATTATATAAAAGTTATCAATATTTAATAACATGATTACAATTGCATAAAATTTCCAACAGACTTTTAGGCTGAGTTCTCAAAATGAGGTTTAACTTTAAACCTGGCCTAAAGAGCAAAGTTAAACAGAGCTGCATTACAGAAATAAAGTTAAAGGAAAAATCCAATTCTAAAGATCTAGTTCAGCCTGATCAAAGTTAAATCTACTCAGGGAGAGGTCAAAATCAGAAAGAAAAAAGGCTACTCTAAACTTACTCCTTCCATTTTGATATCTTGAAATCAAAATAACTATTTTTTAACTTAAAATTATGTCAAAATTGATAAGTCAATAATATTATATTTTACAAAGAAAAAAAAAACTAGAGTTCATAGCGTATAGATTTTATAAGCTTTTTCCAACAATAGTTTTTAAAGGAGAGTTACTGTTTTGGGGAGTACATATATCAACATCATCGGTCTATGTGACGACTGAATAATTTTTCTTAACTTCATTGAATGACGTTTTCATAAACAATGGGTCAGCATGAGATATCTCTAATACATAAATCTTTTGTACTGGTCTATCGATTTTACCATTAACTGTTTTCACTCTAACTACTTGGATAATCTTGTTTTTCCCTGGAAATGTGGATATGATTCGACCCAAAGGACTATCTATTCTCTACTTACTGTCATAGCATACTAAAACTACATATAAAGTTATTAGGTGTGGAGAATGTGTGACGATGTCAACCTTCTTCTATGGAAGGGTACCCCAAGACTGAATCAAGTTAGCATGTCCTATATACAAGTGAATTAATGTTTAATAATCTTAGTGGTAATTACACTGCATTAAGTGTTTGTACTTTCCTCAGTTTTTGCATCAGGAGATTAAAATATTCGTCTCTGAATTATCTTCGAAATGTATTCCGTTTTGCACTTCGAATCAGAATTAATTAAGGATTTCAGTGCTCTTGATTATTCCATAGACAACTTGCAACACACAAAATGATTTATTTTACTGTTCTATTTACATATAAAAATAAAATACTAGCTTCATCAAAAAAAAACTTGAAACACTCAAAAATATAAAGTCGTGCAAAAATAAATATATTAATGCTCAAAAATAAATACTAAATAAAAAAAATTCAAAGCCCTTTTGAACAAGCCCCAAAAAATGAACAAGCTCAAAAGAGCAACAATAGAAACTTAATTTTAAAATTAAGCAGACAATAATTCTCAACAAAATGTTTTTCTCCAATTTTGCTATTATTACCATCTTTCGTTGATATTAACTTTATCAATGTAGTCTAGATCTGGCACACCAACAGTGTGTATGTCTTGAAGAAACATGGATGGGGAAAATAGAAGTTAATGTTGTGAGTCTTCTGAGATGTAAGTAAGAGGCCTGCTGTTGACAACTCCTACATCACACTAAATAGTTGACACTTTTTCATACAAGATACAAGTTTTTCCTAAAATTCCTCTTGGTAGTTTTTTACCATTTGAACCATTATTTCCAACCCCCATCATGATACAGTTTGTGAAGTTAATTTTTACACAGTTTTCTTCTTCTAAATTAGTGACGCAACACATAGATGTTTGGTATTTAGCCTATACTGCTGCACATAGAATATTCATTTCGGACGAATAAAGGAAGAAGCGTCTGCCGAAGAGAAAATTTAGTTCGTTTACAACTGTCTTGCATCTGCGGGTCGCACATCAAGGGTTGGCGAGCCGCAGGTTGCGCACCCCTAAAGTATACCTTTTCTTTAAAAATGCACCTTTAAATGCTCATTTTCTCTAATTTTCAGTATAAAATATTAAAAAAACGTTCATGTTGCTAATCAATTAATAATTTTTTTTAAAAACTTCTTATTCAGGGAAACTTAGACAAATAGCGTCTTTTAGCTTGGCTTAAATTATTTTTCAAAAGTATCAAATATTTCTATTATTTTAATAATAAGTAAGAATTACTTTTTGAAGTATACACATAAAATAATAGAAGAGGATAATTTAAAAATTGATGAGGATCAAATTCAGTTATTACATAATATTGCATATTTTGATAAATTAATTTGATAATATTTAATAATATTTGATAATACTGTTTGTTAAAGGTGGTAAATGACTTTTTCAAAACTAAAAGAAGTTCTTTTCTGTAAGGTAGCACCCTGCCTTTCTTTTTTTTTTATTTCTAGGTGGAACACTACAACACGTAAATGCAAAAAATAAAAAAAATATTTAATAGTATTAAAATAATTGAGCCCAGTTCAGTATGCCCCTATGTCAAAACTATAATGTTAATAAATTTGAGAGTGAGAGCGTGTGAGATAGTGATATTAATATTATATTAGTTTTATACAATTTCAATATTTAGTACAAATATATTTTGTAAAGTTAATTTTCTCATTAACTCTGTTAGATTATAATATGAAGAGTGATTTTAAATAAAATCCCTTTAACTCTAATTGCACAGATCTAGATTAAAATAAATATTTACTTCATAATAGTAACAATATTTTTTGACGATTTTGTGAAAATTTTAATACAGGGATTTTTAAGCTCGCGTGCATACGAATCGCTACATAGGGTTTTAAAATCGCGTAATTACAAATCGCGATATTGGATTTTTAAATCTCGTAAATAAGAATCGCAATGTACGACATTTAAATCACCTGATTAAGAATCGCAACGTTCAACTTTTAAATCAGGTAAATACGAAAATCAATGTTTGAGGGAGGAATGAGGACTTCAATACTTTCGCTTCGGGGAAAATTTAATTCCTCATAAAATATTTTAACTTGTGCAAAAAAAAAAATTTCAGCGGAAATTAGCGGGAAAAATGGAAAAATCTGAAAAAAGGCAGAAATCAGCGAATCCGTGGAAGAATCACATCCCTGTTAATAGAGTCAATCAAAATCTCAGTAAAGTCCGGAGTCTGAGTCAAATCTTTTTATTCCGGGGACCATTTCCATATCTGTATCTACGAAAAATGAACTGGGTAGGGTAGTAACATGCGAAAAACTTTTTTAAAAAAAAATTGCAGAAGGGGACTGTAGTGTGTCTACCACTACAATGATTAAATACCAATTCGCTAGTATTTAAGACATGTTGACTTGTAACTATCTTGGAATACCTTTTGATAGATGAAGGTTGACATTGTCAATAATTACTTTATCCACATTGGTGACCTTCAGGCGTGATATTCCCACGCCTACCTCGACAGCAACGCCCACTTCAATTGAATGGATGGTCCACATTTAACAGTTGACCTGATATTTGTGACATTGACCTCCTTGTGCTGTTGCTTTTCAGTTTCAATCACACTTTACAGCTAATAGCAACACAAGAGCAATCACACACGCAAACGTGATCTTAATACCGCTCTCACAATCAGCATTCAAAAACTTGGTGAATTTAATATAGCTCTCTTGACTTCCCACGAAAACATTCCTATTTTCGTGGGATTAATGGTATGGTATCCATCATTGAATTCTATCACAAATAAAACTTTAGTGGGGGAGTACTGTAGCATGTCTACCACTACTGTGACTTTCCTATTAGGTGATGCATCAGAAACCTGATTTAAGGCGCCGGTATAAGACGACGCTCGCAGTTTAACGATTTCACATGCGAGGATTCTTGTCTACGTTATCTCTGTCACTGCGTTAATGAAAATTATTCCACCTAGCTGCAAAAATGTTAATTGCTTCTAGCTACGAAGATGTTAGCTTCGCGATGTGGAATGACGAAGAGCGAATTGAATCAGAATATCATTGATCAGATAGTTTCTCTAAACGCCATTTTTGTCTTTGGGAATTTACGTTTCTTGAAGATTATTTTCAGCAGGATTTTTGCTACATAGCAATCATTTCATTGTGCATTATTTCATCACTTTTTTTTCCCTTTGTCTATCAGGATTTAACAATTTTTGTCTATTATTTTTAGTAGACCTACTGGAACTTTGTGATCACTGTTATCCTAAATTTTTGTTCTGAACTCAATCTATTAATGAAAAAAAATATGAATTTTAAAAAAAAGATTCTTTATTGATTTTTGCTACATAGCAATCATTTCATTGTGCATTATTTCATCACTTTTTTTCCCTTTGTCTATCAGGATTTAACAATTTTTGTCTATTATTTTTAGTAGACCTACTGGAACTTTGTGATCACTGTTATCCTAAATTTTTGTTCTGAACTCAATCTATTAATGAAAAAAAATATGAATTTAAAAAAAAAGATTCTTTATTGATTTTTTTAATTAGTGTTTTTCATTTTAAGTGATACAATTTAATAGGGGTATTTTGTCTGTAAGTAATTTATTTTTTTTATAAAAAGTTCTTTTAAAATTTATTTAATGCATGTAAGTATCATAATTTGACAGAATTTGATCTTTTTAAATCAATAAATCATCAGTTGTTTTTAATTATAAAAAAATTAAAATAAAGCCTACATTTATTTAATTTGCTTTTATCTTTGAGAAAATTGAACAAAGTTTGTGTTATTTTTTTTTTTTTTTTTAAATGGCTATTAGTTAAAATCACTAAATTTTTTTACTTAAATAAAAAATTAAGCAATGTTTAGACGCTTTTTCAATAATATAACAATAGTACTTACAGTATTTTTCTTCCCTTAAAATTCTTTCAATATGTATTAGTTTGATAATTTGTAAGATAATTAGCATCATTTTCCAACCAATAAATCTTTAGTCGATTTTATTTTCAAAATAGAAAATAATAAATGAATAAAAAACATATTTATTTTTATAATTATTAAGTATAGAATTAGACCATTAGTCAATACAGCCTTATTATTTTAAATAAGTAAAAGAAGGTCCAACAATGTTTCAAAAGCACATTTTTTTCCTCAACAATTTAAAAAACGTTTTACTAAAGTGAACATTTTTTTGGTTTGTTTTTTTTACTTTCATTTTTCTTTCTTTTAATTTTTAATGCATATATGTAAAATATTTTGTAACAGCTTTATTATTTTTAAATCAATCTTTAAGCTAGTTTGAATTTTTAAAAAAAATTAAATCTCGTTTGTTTTTACTTTAAGACAATGGGTTTAAGTCAATCCATCTTCAGTATTTCAATTGAAAAAATTAAGCAATGTTATTGATGTTATAAAATAGAGGTGCACAACCTTTTTGAGTGAAGGGCCACTTGCGCAGCAGGGTGACTAACAAAGTTAAGGGCTGCACATGTGTTTAGTGAATGTAGTAATATTTATATAAACATTAGTGTTCTAATTTTTTAATCAATAAACTTAGTATTATATTTGTAGAAAATTAAAGGCATTCAATTATTAGAAATCATTAAAAAATAAAAAAAAATACTTTTTTTTAAAAAAAAAATTGCCATTTTTATCTGTCAAATATAGATTTATCAAAATAAATAAATAAACGTTGGAGAAAAGAAATGCTTTTTTATCATATCTTGCAATACAAAAACTAATTTTAAAAATAAATCCTAATAAAAAAAAACTGCAATGCTCACAGAATAAAAGTAGGAAAAAATTTAGAGCATAATTTAGTACAGTACAGAACCCGCTATCCGGAAATCAGAANTATTTCCAAAAAAATTATTTTTTTTAGTTGGGTTTAACAATAAAAAAAAAAACGGCTTTTTGTAGGGATTCAGAAAATTGGAAAAATCAGTTATCCGGAATAGCGATGGTCCCGATCGTTCCAGATAATCGGTTCCCTACTGTAATATAAATTCGAAGAAAATTTATTAATAAAAACAAAACTGTTATAGTTCAAAATAAAATCCAATTCTTATTTGGTAAAGTACTACTTTATTATTTCTTTTTAACGATTATTAGATCTTTTTATATAGTAAACGTTTACTTTTTTTAATGAAAAAGATCACCTAAGCAACAAAAAATTGAAATCAAAACTACAAATAGTGAGTAGTTTAAAAATTCACAATTTTAGCAACTTTATGAATTTCTCAAGTTGCAATAACATGGCATTTAAATTAGGGATGTAACAAGTATTTAGCCATTCTGTCAAAAATTCAGTTGGTCAAATGATGGGCCATATATTCGGCAGAATATATTTTAGAAAAGTTTTTTTTTTTTAATTTGTATAGATATGATAATAATATAAAATTGTATTTTTAACTTTATTATAGTATTGCTTATTATAAGAGAACACAAATTTCTTAAATTTAAAAATCCATGTTTCTGCACATGGGTTGCAAATTTATTCTCTAGAAGACAAAATAAAAAACTAAATTTGAAGAATTGAAACTAGATTACTTTATACTGAACCACAAGTTACAGCACTTCTGCATCTTTTTTTTTTTTTTTTTTAAATTATATTCAAACTAGTAAATTTTGTCACTTTTTCTATACTTTTAATTCTAAGAATTGAGAAGAATTTCTTTTCATTTTTGCTGTTTTCATTATAAAGCAGCATTTTAACAGAACATCTCATACTATTAATTTATTATAACTTTTTTCCCTGTACTGCAATATAAATAACCAGTAACATAGAAAACTGTGATTTTCAGTAAAGTTTTGTTTTAGGAACTAAGAACAAATTGTTTTCTCTGTTTTTCTTTTTAATTAACTTTTCCTTTTATATGCATTTTATGAAGCAGCAATTTTTTTTTTAATAAACGCTACTAATAAACTTTATTTTATAGCAATTTTTTTTCTTCTAAAAATATGGCAATATGAAACATTTAAATTGAGATTTTCTGCATAGGATTTTCATTTAAAAAATTTAGAATGTTTTTTGTTTCTATCTAGCTTTTTTTCTCCTTTTTTTTAAAAAAAAAAATGTTTTTATAGACAACATTTTTATTATAACGCAGCAATTTTCAAGAGCATTTCTGCTAGACTTAATTCTTTTTTCTAGACTTTTTCTGGTAATTGGAAAACGGAGATGTTCCTTTAAAATTTTCTTTCGAAAATTAGGATTGATTTTTATTTTCAATGTTTCACTTTTGCATATAATCTTTAGTTTTTATGATAGCGCAGCATTTTTAAAAGCGTTTCAGATAGGCCTTATTTTTTAACATTGATTTATGAATATGTTTTTTCAGAAAATATTATTCTTAGCATTGAAATGTTGGTTTCAGTGTTGCTATGCTGCTAAAAAATATAGCTATTTGGCACCAAACATATGATATTCACTCTATTTTTTTTGCCAAATATTCGGTTTTCGACCAAATCACAATTCATTACCACATTTGATGAAATCATATTCGATTCCGAAAAAACAAAGGAAAAATAACTAGGATTTACGACAAAACTGCACTGAAATACCGTATCCGAAAGTGATTATTTAAATGCTTGATCAGAAATTTGCGAGTCGTAATAACATCGTAGTTAAATAACGGGATTGCAAAATCAAGTGGAAAAATACAGCAAAAATTGAAAAAAAAATGCCTAAATTTATGCTGAACTCAGCACGAATAAAGCATGTCAAATGCGTGATTTAAAATTCGCATGACGTAATAAAATTAGCAGAATTTTTTAGAGTTCGTGGGAATGCATAGCAATAACTGCCGAAAAAATAGTTGAAAGAATTGCAAAAAAAAAGAAAAAAATCACTTAAGATTTACGATGAAATCGTCACAAATAAATTGCACCAAAAAAGTGATTATTTAAATGGGCGGTCTGAAACTCGCTTGTCGTAATAATATCGTAATAAAAATTCGGAAATTCCGAAATCACCTTGAAAAGCAGAAATAACTGTGTAAAAAAGTCATTTATATTTACAATGAAGAAAAGATGCTTAAAGAAAGCGTGATAAATATACATGTACTATGGAATCTGTTAAAATTGATCGAGTCAAAACGTAATGACTCAAAAGTGCGATTAAAAATTTTTGAAATTTTTTTTATTGTGTTTAGAAGCTCTCGCAGGCGGCACTTTAGTAGTCGGCGGGTCGCAGGTTGTGCACCCATATAATAAAAGCATTTTTTACAATTAACATTTTTTTTAATAGATTTATCACTTTTTATTTATTTTTGATTGAATTAAAGATGCCTGATAGATAATTTTCAAACAAATTTTAAATTGCGATGCATCGCTATATCAAGATGTCTAACAGACGATATATCAGAATGTTAAATTTCTTACATCACCCAGGCCTATTCACTAGTATATAAAAAATGTGAACTCAATAGTCTCAATACTATCTTGGGGTACCTTTTAATAGATGAATGTTGACATTATCAAAAACTATTCCTACAAAGACAAATCCAAAGGATATAACTTATAGCTTTTGTTAAAAGCTTTCTTTTTTTTTAAATACATGAGAGAAGACTTCCGTATCGTGATCAGCAGCATAATAATTGCCAAGTCTTGGTAAATTCTGGACAGCTGCTCATGAGAAACTTAAATAAAAAAACTTCACAATGGAGACCAACTCCAAGGGTTAACCTGTAGCCAACACTGTGCAAACCTCTTCATATCTTTGTTTCAAAAATTATAAGTCTAAAGTCGATTTGTCGTCTTGTCAGTAGTAATTGGCGAAATGGGTCACGATACGTAAATGTTCTCAAACATTTAATACAAGCATTAAACACTTTATAAGAAAACTTTTGTTAAGAACAAAAATCTCTTGGCACCATATTGATTTTAATTAATGTGAACGGATAGTGAAATGTAAATATCTCCGCATTAGACTCTCCAGCTCTGGTTTTTGTACATCATAAATATTATTTTACTTGTTGCAAATTGATATAGTGCCAACATAAAGAAAGAAGAAAAATAGATAAAATACATTACTGAATTTTCATTGGGAGCTTGAAAGACATGATATGCTGATGGTCCACCAGCCACTTCTTTGGTCATATAAGTAAAACATGAAGAATCAAGAGTAGACTGTGAAAACTTAGAAACTGATTGCAATTTATGTTCAAATACAATATGTTCATCCTCACATCTAACAGCTTTTAAAGATAGTTGTGTAATTTCAATAAATATTTCTTCTTCATTACCTAACCCATGCCTTTTAATTTCAGCAATTAGCCAGGGTAACATTGGTTGAGTATATCTTCTGTCCAGTACTGCATAGCCTAAATATACAACTTTAAAAGTTCTTTGGAAAACGTGGTTTTGGTTTTCATTTAATGTATTCAAATCATGATTTATTAAAAGATGACAAGAGTTCACTAATAAAGTTGGACATTCTTTCATATTGTCTGTATCCACCGCATTACTCATTTTATATTTGTATTGTATCTCTTTTCAAACTACGAATGGTATGTAATGTAATAAGTACTTAAGAAAAATATTTTAATCAACAAATTGTAATGAACCAAGTTTAAGAATGCGTAACATCACTACATAATTTTAACGTCTTTGCATTATATCAAAATTATAATTTTACAACAAACTATCTTAGTTTTAAATTTGATAAATCTGTTTAAAACCATCATGGCAAGATTTTTTAAATAGTTCGGGACATCAGTTTTTGTAATTTAAGTAGTTGCTTTTGCCTACACACCCACATTCAACCCATGAGCAAAATGATTGTTTGAAATATATAGACTTATGTCTCCACGTATAAAGACCCGTTGACACAATCAAAGTAAGCGCGCGCATTCAAATTACATCATAAAAGTAAATAAAACAAAAATAGAAACCGCGAAATTGTAGGGAAAAGGGAAAATACAAAGGGGAAAAAAAGTCATGCACTGTTGTTGAGAGTATGGATGGTTGGCAAAACGTAAACAATAACAAGCTACCAAACCCGGAAGAAGATTAGAAACTTTCCGGTGTATCCCTCCACTCATGGAATACTTGCGAGGCAATATGTGAACAGGTTTAATATTCTTAAGATGTTTTTTTTATTGTAATTTGGGTTTAAACTTATGCGTAATTTTACCACTCATAAGAGTTTTCAGTAATTTATAGATTCTAAAGTATGGTGAGGCTTGACCCGGAAGCCTTATGGCGAATTTTAACACCCAGTGGTATCTGTACTTAGCTTTACATGATTAACCATCCATGATATATCAAATAAATAATCTCGGCTTCTGTGATTTTAAAATTCATTTACGAAGCTTAAAAAGCAGACTGTGGACAGTGTGCGGATGGGTGACCTCTTTGATCAGTCTGCGTAGGGACCGAGGGTGTGCGGTATGGGTTCTTGCTAAACTGTTCTACCATAAAGTGTTCGACTTCGCGTGCAGGTCGTCTGGCTACCGAAGCAGGGGTGCCATCCCTTCTGCAGAGGATCTAAATTGTGATGGCATGTCTTCGGATCATCCTCTGGGATGTTTCCCAGACCGTCGCCAATAGCCCATTGTGCAGCTCTAGTGCGACGTAAATGAACTACAACAGTAAAATAAAATCATATTTTATTAAACATTCATACAAGCAGTTTAACCAACATCTGGGAAGATGACCAGTTCCACTTCTTGACTCTCCCCCTTTCCCTTTTCTCCTCTGCTCAGGAATGCACAGTGCTCAAAAAAAAGATCTCACCCTGAATAACTTCGTTCTAATGATCGGATTTTCGCGCATTAAGTGTCAAACATAATGGTTTCTGGGATGACTTCAAATATGCTAATTATTTAGTGCCAACTATTAATTAAGTTACGAAACCAGACGCAGAAAAGCACTTTCTCTGAATAAATATTTTTTTTTTACATATTTGATTCCTGACCCTCAAAATAGGGAGGGGGTAGACAAAATTTCGAAAAGATTAGATCAAGCCAAGTCGCCTCACTAATTACAGAGAGGAATATCTCATTCTACTCCGTTGTTAAGCAACCAAGTTCAGACAATAAAGAGAAAATTGAAATAATGTTCTGCTCGGAGAGGTTTATTTATTAATAGTTAATATCTTGAAGCTTCTAGGCAATATACAATTATTCAGCTGATTTTTGACCAAGACCAAAAGCAATTTTTTTTTCTTTTTTATCTCGTTTGAAAAGAAAATTTAAATCAATTTATAAATTATTAATGATTTTCTAAGCTTTTTAAATTTGAAAATATGAACTTATTTTATTATCTGACAGTATTTGGGTTTTTTTACGTTGTTTTTACTTCATTTATACGGGGATCTCATTACTAAAATCAAAATTAATTTACATAATTTATTTAATATATTTAATTATAGAAATAATAATTTTTACATTTTTTTCCCTAGAAGAATCGAGTCTTCTAGGCAAGAAAATTTAATGAATGTGCTTTTTTCTGTAACTGAAGGAATTGCTGAATATTAAGTGGCATTTTAAAAAGACTGAATATGTTTAAGAACAATCTTCCTCGGAGCAATATCATTCTTATCCTCTTATGACTAAATATTAGAAAAATTGATATTCACAGTTATCTGTAAAAAATATAACCCTCTTGCTGGGTTTTTTTTTTTTTTTTTTTTTCGNTTTTTTTTTAATCAAAATAAGTTTGAAAATTGTGTATTTTTTATTACATTTTTCAAATTAAATGATGATTCTGAAATTGGCACCGTTTCGAAATCTTTTTACAAATTCCAAATTTCAGTATTTGCTTTTTAACAAAATAAGAGATTTTCCTAATAACAAATAATGCTATAATAATATCTTGAGAATTGTGCTAAAACTGAAAACTAATTTTATCAAAAGTAAGTTTTTTGAACATCTTTTTTTAAAATAACAAATTTCTTAAAGTTAACAGTGTAATATATATTACACTGTTAACTTTAAGAAATTTTTATTTTGACGTTTAAACTTATATATATATAAGTTTAAACATCAAAATAAAATTCCGGTTCGAATTTGTTCATTTGAAAAACAAAACAAACAGTGTCCTTTTTTTTTTTTTTTTTTTTTTTTNTCTTTTTTTTTTTTTTTTTGACTTGCACTAATATGTATATATATTTCACAAACCAAACAAATAAGAAACAATAAAGTAAATAAATAAATAATTTGTTCTTTCAATCTTAGAGAAATGGTGCACTTATTTACTACAATCAGTCGGTTTTGCACCAAGCAATTTTAACATAGAAAATGCTCTTAAATTCTTATCAATTAACTGACTTCAATCCTGAGAGATGAACAAAAACTTAAATACTTAAAACATGAGTGTCAATTTAAAGAAAAACTTTAAGTACCAATAAAAATTAAGCGAAATATTTTATATTATTATCGGAAAAAATCTAAGTGGTAGCATAAAGAAAGAATAAAAAAATATAATGAAATAATTAGTTGAGTAGTTCTGTGAAGCCAGACAATTAAAAATTTAATTTTAAAATTACGATGTTAGGATGACATATAAGATACTGAGATATTTTAAGACACTTAAAAATTTTGACTACGCATTCGACAGCTTGTCATGTTATCCTTATTGGTGATCGAAATGGGCTACAGGTGGCGTAGATCAGAACTCTCTACCTATGGCAAAACTGCATGATTTCACCATCAGCGTGTGGAGAGTCACAGGAGAAGAACGTTCGTTAGTTTCTGTCTTGATTTAGTCCCGCAGTGGACTGATCGTTTAGACACGGTTCCCAGCAGATCACCGAAGTCAAGCATCACTGGCTACTGTCACTGTACGGTGGGTGACCACTTGGATCAGTCTGCGTAGGGACCGAGGGCGTACAGTATTGGTCCTCGTTAAATTGCTCTATCGTAAAGTGCTCGACTTCGCGTGCAGGTCGGGCTACCGAAGCGGGGGTGCCATCCTCTCTGCAGAGGATCAAAATTGTGATGGCATGTCTTCGGATCATCCTCAGGGGTGTTTCTCAGACTGTAGCCAATAGCCCATAGTGCGACGTAAATTAACTGCAACAATAACTACAACTACAACAACTGTCTTGATTTACAAATAGATTAAAAGCTTTTAAGTTAGGAAACTGTATGGAACTGAAAACTCCATTGAACATTGTTCTAAAAGGAAATGTCGTGGAAATTCTAAAAAGTATTTTTGACAAGTAAATACGAAAAATATTAAGAAAGAGGAAAATATCGTCGTGCATTCCTTCACAGTTGAGAAGGGGAGGAGAGGGAAGAGTGACAGTCAAGACATGGAACCGGTCTTCTCCCCAGATGTCGTATTCGAAAGTTGCAATCGCGAATACTCCGGACATTTCGGCGATCGAAATGGGCTATAGGTGGCGTAAAGCCGAATTCTCTACCCATGGCAATACTTCTCATGGTTTCACCATTTGCATGTGGAAAGTCATAGGCGAAGGAAGTACGTCAGTCTCTCTCTTTATTTTCAAATGGTTTAAAAAATTTCAAGTTAGGAAACTATATGGAACTGAAAACTACATTGAAACTAAAACATCAGCACTATTTTTGATAATATATGTTTAAGTCTCACTCCATTTTTCGTAAAACGAAAATGCTTAGTAAATAGTCAGCTGTTTTGCATTGCATCGAATAATTTTAAACTGCAGAATGTTATTAATTTCTTAACAAGATTTAATTCTCAGCTAGCATGCAATAATTCTAAGTTTTCTTTTAATAAAAACTTGACAATAATTTATACAGAATTTTGCTTTAAAGGAAAACCTGAATTATAGTAAAAAATTTATTAGTATATTAATGAAAAAATAATATACGTGGTAGCGAAAAGAATAAGATTTTTAAAAAAGTTAAAATTTAATTTAATAGCTGGTAAAATAGTTCTGCGAAACTCTCGCGGACAGGTAATTATTAGATATTGAGAAATTTTAAGATGTTTAAAGATGTTGACTACGTATTCGTATTAATAATTATTAAATGTATATTAAGGAATTTGACAAATATATTATTTTAAATTTATGCATATGTATGTATATTATGGAAATAGTATCAATTATAGAAAAACAAACTATAGTTTGTTTTTCTCCCCATAAAATGAAATATTATCATTAAATATTATCACCATATTATCACCATTTCGCCATTAAATATAATCACAACCTGATGTATAATCACATTCTATCAGAAATATGGTTTTATAAAACAAACATTCGCTGAATAAAATGCTTTTTATTCAATAAAATGTTTTATTCAAATTTCTTTACTAAATTACGAATAAATTTTTAGACGACTAAAAAAAGAAATATCTTATTTTATAATTAAAATAAAAAGGATTAGCAATCTGTTATTAGCGAAAAAAATATGAATGAAATGTTACGCTACGCTAGCGTAAATAAAGTTCTTCGTAAGTTAACCACATTTAAATATTTTTTTTTTGTCGTATGCCTGCTTAGGCAGTGGGGGAGCGATTGCTCCTGTTTTTCAGTAGCGCCATCTATGGACAGGAATTCGACTTCTGCCACGCCATTCACACAACCACAACCAGTTTATAGGGCGGATCACATTCACACACAAAGGAGAAAGGACATAAAACACACAGAGAGAGAAAGAAACATCCATGTCTTGCCCGGGATTCGAACCTAGGACCTTTTTGATCCAATGACAGTTCCCTGCCCCCTACACAGGCCGGTCGGCAGATTTAAGTATTAATCATCCCAATTAAATATTTCGTCATTGTCGCAAAATTATTTTTTTTAAATAGTTAATTTTAATTTTTCTCGGCTTATACTAAATAAAAACAGTTGAAACTTTAAATTTTTCAATAGAAAAAAATATCTAGATCAATATGGTACGAAAAATTTATATGTCGTAATTCAAAATGTTTTCATCCTCAATTAAATTAAACAATAAAAATTAATAAGTAATTATTAAAAATTATTTTTTGCGTGAAATTATCTTTGGGTAAACGG